TGTTAAAAGATTTATAAATTCTTTTGTGTAGAGAAACCATACATAAAGGGAAGACAGGCTTCGAGTACCCAAAATCGTTGGCAAAATTCTTAGAGGCGGGCTGTGAATGTGCAGGGCTCAATATAATCTGTTCAGTAAAATAAACAGTCTGTAATCACAGAAAAAATACACCTATGCGGCAAGATTTATTCATAATTTTTTTGTATAGTTAGAAGAATTTTGGATTCTAGAAAATCTCATTAAGCACAAGGATTTTTTAGTAGCCCTCTTGGAACATTCTCAACATTTCGGGCTGTTCAATTGTGATTTATCCTTTGATTCAACTGGCTTGGCGGCTGGAAGGAGGGGGTTAGAGACCTAATTAAGGCCAGGCAATGGCCAGAGAGTACGCGCGCGGGAGAGACGCAGAATCACCGCGGGCGCGAGCGGCCTTTATTAGGTCACAAAGCCCCGCCTTCCTGAAGCCAAGCCAGTTGAATCAAAGGTTACACTGCAGAATTTTTTTGGGTGCATGCCACATCTTTCTATGAAAAAATGCCGACCATGCCCTCATATCGGTAATTGCTGCAACACCTGTGCGAAAATACACTCAAACGATTGAATAAGTCTACTAGCTGGACGAAATGCAGAATGTCAAGGTCACAGTAAAAATTGTGTGGAGTTCTCAATAATTTAACTCTTACCTTAAGTGCTGTTGCAAATTGGAAAACAAAGACACAGATCTACATACCATTGATATATAGCAACGCGATTCAGGAGAAGAGATCTTTTTCTCAGCTCATGCTCAAAATTCCATTTTAAGACCTTACGACTTTAACGTGGAAACTAGCAACGTACAGAAATTCTGGAACAGGGAAGCAAACATGAGAAGAGAGCGCAAGTGTTGAAAAAACAAGCTTTCAAGTGCAATGTAATATGAGCTCTCTAGCTGTATCCAAGCCAATTATGTCCTTGTTGACGTCTTTCGATACCTTTTTAGAAACACCTACAGGGCAATTATGTACAAGTTGTTGCTGTGGGCGCCACTGTGTAAGTAAAACATGAGCACATGGGTTACTTAGTGATTGGAGCAGGTTTTTGAGTCGAGCTGGGCATACTAAAAAAAACGACAAACAACCAGTGAAAGTAATCATTTTAAAGGCAGGTTTACCCAAAATCTATCTACCCCAGATTACTACTTATATTACTAGCAGGCCCGACAGTAAACCAACGCGCTAGTCCGGTACCCTAATGTTGCCTACAAAAGAAGATAACGGACCGGATCCTTTATGCGCTTCCCCCCCCCCCTTTTTTTGCGCTCCACCCACCCACGGATTGCCCTGTGACGTGTTCAGACATGACAAGCAAATCGAGACGCATAGTTTGTGATGTGGCACTGTTGCACACGACGGACCAGGGCCGGGGCACTTGTCCACGTCTGCCAATTTAGGGCTTTAGAAAGGGGCAATTTTGAAGTTTTCTGGTAATTTGAACCTCATATCCGAAATCAGCTCCGTGGAAAGGCCCGATAACAATAAAAACACGGAGGACGAAATTTTGGGTGTACGCTGCTTTTAAACATTGTACATATAGGAGCCGTAAAACTTAATTGCCCGCGCCGTGCCTTGAACACCAGCGTAAGCGAGCGGTCGTCGCGCACGACTGTTGGCGTTCAATATATTCCAAGAATTCTTTCTTCAACTTTCATGTTGTTCTCGTCAATGCAAGATATATCTTGACGAAAGCTTTCTTCAAAAGTTAAAAAAAATATGTGTGGAAAGGGTGCGCGCTCATTGTCGCTCGCAAAAAGCCTGTAGCGCTTCGGGACCAAACGTTTCCAGCCGCGCCGCGCCTTGGTGTTTAAAGCGACGCGTGGACAATTAGATTTTACGGGCCTGTACCCCTTTCTTTCGGTCAGAAAGTCTAATGCTAAGTTTTTTTTAAACAATGCTAGGTTGTACAAGAAAAGCACCAACAATCAGCATTTCGACAAATTTTTTTTTCTTTGAGTGGCTCTTCAGTCTGCTCAAACAGATTTTGCAGTATGCATTCCACAACACAAAAAAAAAATACAGAAAGAACACTGCGATTGTTATCTGCGCAGCTACAGACAACCACATGAACACACAAAAGAATTATGACTGGACATAAATTTGGTGATACCTACGAAAGAATCCATGAAATAAGGATTTGAAAGAAAATCTTCCATGTGCGTGCAAAGACTTGACATCTAGAGAGACAGTGTTGAAAAAAAGTGAGTCAAAATGTTCCAGAAACTCATACTGTTTAGTCGTTGAATACTATTCACCTCACAATCAGTGTATTTCGCGGAATGCTGAATATCACAGTGCTGATTTCAGCTTAGACTTACAGTATGGAACGAATCATCTACCGCTTTAGGTTGATATTCAGGTTGGTGTGGGAGTACTCTAGAAATTTCTAATCGGCTTTCAGTAAGGCTATTATTAGCTGAAAAAATTCCTGGAGTCCTGAAATTTTCCGCTAGCTCAATCACTCTTCGACATAAATGTGCGAAGCTTTTAATAACATCAGCATGTGCGTGAAGCCTATCATGCAAAACTATATAGTTTTGAAACGGCGTCGAAATTACAAGGAAGTAATCTAAGGGCGATACGATGATTCATATTATATTGTTTTGAGCTGTAGTCAGATTTATAAAGTGATATCCAAAAATTCGTCGAAGACCTAATGCTCTGTAAATAAGTCGGGCACGGTATCTCACCGGACGAAAATGCTTCGAAGCTTTTGGAATGAAAAGGCGCAAGAAGCGGACAGGTTCAAACATCGACACAATTTCCTAGTAGGATCTCAGCTCAAATGAGGTGGTAGAGCATCTCTCACTTGAATCTCTTACCCACTGAACTTAATAAGATGTCAAACAAATTGAGAAGAGTCTCTAAAATAAGAGATTTGAAATGGTGGAACGTCGGAAAAGGAGCAGGCTACAAAATGCGGTCATTCCTTGAGTCGTGAACGCCTTTGATAGGCTACGAAGAGCTGCTGACGAATGTTTACCTAACCCAAGCGACTCGCATGTCCCTTCCTGGCACATGTGGCACCACGCATAGAGTATGCGAGATGTTTCGAAAAGTGATTGTTCTGTTGTTAGAAAGTCGTATAGCGGTTACAGAAACGAACTGTAATCAGCCAGTGTAACAAAAACAAAAAAGCTTAGAAAAATCGACCAATAAAATTGCGATGCGATTCATGCCACTCCCTATTTTTTTGATGATAATTTGTAGCTAAGGAGTATGCCTGCCTTCTCGAAAATGAGTTTAGTCTCTTCTCCACGCACACAACGGGACCGTTCTCTTATTTTGAGCGTACGGAAGAGTAGAATCTAGATGGGCGCCTTCAACAGCACCTTCTTTACTTGTTCAAATTATTGGAAGCCATGTATCACAGTTTCAGGATTGGACATCCATAGGTACTGCCAAGCTTCAAAAAACTTTCAAACCCGAGTCATAGAATTTGCTCTAATTACGGTCAGAAGAAATAAATTTTTGCACTGCTGATGCCTAAGTAAGCCCTGACAGTGGGTCAAGAGATTTTCGGAAGTTACCTTAATGATTACGAAAATGTGCCGACTCGTTTTTGCATGAAAACACCAAAATAATTTCTTTTAGAGATTATATTATCCACCCTCCCTTTTTTAAGTTGGAAATATGGACCCGCAAAATCCTGGAGATCATTTCAAAAATTCACGTAAGACATGGCCAACGCCACGCATCACCGATAAAGGTTTGGGTGGAGGTGGAGAGCCAATCATTAGCTAGATTAAAACCAAAATATCTAAACAAGATGGCATTGCACTGAATGAGATTTTCCAAAGCTAATTTGAATGTTTACAAAAGTTCAAAATAATTCAAATCAGTTACAAATAAAACCGAGCCAATTATGTAATTCATGGGAGGCCACTTTCAAACCCCCGGGTCTTCCCGCTTCGGTACGCCGATGATGATCACGAGTAGATAACCCCTTCGTTGCGATAAAGGCCTTTTCAATTATAAGTCCACAGCATGGCTTATTGTATCGAAAGGATAAGTACAGGGTGTCCCAAAAAATGCGCCTACTGTTTGATTGTTGATAAGTCTCGAGTAATGAAGTCTTTCGAGAAGCTTTAAGTACCATTCTGTAGAACTGGCCTCAGCTTAGATGTACGATATGGTGCTAATCAGATATCCCTCTTCGTTACTGTAGGATTACAATAGGAACTTTGAGGAGGATTTTGAGTAAATAAGAGTTATCTCTCACCCCTAAAGTAAAACTAAAGAACTGAAAGCTCCTACACTATGTTAGTCAGAGTTGCTGATTCCAAACGTGAAACTCGCAGTTTACTATAACGCACTAATCGTAAGTTATGTCACTTATACCACACCGGCCAATTGCTATTTGTCAAAAATCTAATTAGACCATTCAAAAAACTCTACGAAAGCGCAAAAATTTGTGCACTAAAATCAGCATGCATGAAGACCTTGTTACACTTTTTTTCATATTTTGGAGATTTTTTTCAAACAGCTTTTTCACAGCGGCGCCCTATGCTGCAAGTTCCTACCGTGCTCCTACAGTAGTGAAGGTAGATTCTTAATTCGCTCCCTACTTTAAATCTAAGTTGAAGCCGGCTCTATAAAATGGTACCTACTTCCCGAAAGATCTCATGATAAGAGAGTTATTAACAATCAAACGTATGCACATTTTTGGGACACCCTGTATAGTGGGGTCAAATAATCTCCGTACGCAGATTTCTAATGACATTTTCTTGCCTCGCCCTTTACGCCCTTTACACTGCAACTTTTGAAAGCGAATATTCAGCATAAAGCAACAAGTTTTAGCGAAGCCCTACCAAAACCCAATTCTTTAGTTGGTTTCCACCAAAGGAATGACTCCCACATCTAAATAATCAAGAACGTTAGACAACTCGAAGTCAAGAGCGTGGAATTCAAGTTCACGCCACTCATCTCCTCACAACTATAGCTCTTTATTTACTGCATTATAACAAAAACAGTGCACACTAGACTTTTCAACAACAATTCAACAATCAACAACAAGAACAACAATTTCACACGCTTTTTTTGGGGGGGGGGGGAAGAAACAGAAGCATAACGATGCACAAACAACAGAGAACTAGGGCATCTGAAGCTTTACCAGCTGAGACAGAGACCATTTAATGACGCCTACTTCCAGTACGGGCCTTCTTCCCTCGTCCTTTCGTCTTCTCCTTATTTTTCATCGCACGTAGATCCTTCTTCATTCGGCTAGAAAGTATGAAGTATTATTGCGCTAACGTGTAATATAGGAAAGTGACAGAAAGCTTATGCTCTTACCGATCCACCAACTTATATCGACCATTCGGCCTTGACATCTTCCCCTTCTTTCCTTTAGTCATAACTACAAGCTCAGTCTTCTTCTTTTCTTTTTTGTTAGCTGAGGCATATATTCTGCAAAAATTCCGTTCAGCTGTTTGAGATTCTAAAATTATTTTGATCGCTAGAAACATACTTCTTCATTTCTCGAACTTTTTCAGCGTGTTCAAGATTCTCGTTTTCCAGTACACCTTCAGCCTTCTTCTTCGCAGCTTGCATCCTTCGCAAAGCTCTGTAAAAAGGAAAGAATAGAATGTAAGTTTAAAATTCAGCCCGTTTAATGCGTGCAAGAAATTTTTGTATAGTCTGCTTATCAAGAATCTCAGAATGAAAAAGAGATGTCTGATCATATCTGGTTATATTATGTACAGATTGTATAGGCCGTCCGCGCACGGCGCGGAGAGTGCGCAAGGTGTTATTGCGCGTTACTCCTCTTTTCTCGTGCACTCTCGCCGCCTGTTTCTCTCCGCTTCTTCCAGTCGTGAACTGCCTCCAATGTACGCAACAGCGTTGCTTTCTGTGCGCAGCGCGGACGGCCTATACCCTTTAACGAGTGAACGATCACGGAATAATAAATTCAGCATAAACGCATAAGAATTTTGTCACAGCAAATAAGAGCTTGAAAGAAATGATACCGCGATAACTAACGTCAAAAACAGTTTACTACCCTTTAGTGAAACTAAATCGATAGGAAATAACATAGCATACATCGAACTATCAGATAATAACACCAACCCAGGTAACGGAAACACAAAAAATACCTCCTCTGCTTTCTGGCTTTCGCTTCGGCAACTTTCTTAGCAGGGCGAGCGTTCAGTTCACGTAGACGTTTTTTATACTCCTCGACTTGGGCCTCAAAATTACCTCGCAAAATTTTGAGCATCAAGACAAAGAGGGAAAATCCTGTTCACCTTTGTGACAGGTAGTTGCTTGCGGTAATGTTTCCTTTCATCTTCGACAAACCAGTCCGGGAGCCCTTCATCGTTGTTAGTATATCTAATTCAAAAAAGATAAAAGACGGCGTACTTACCAATAACCTTACCTGTTCCAACCCCACTCTTCCACTTCTCTCGCGGATTTACCAGAATATATTAACTGCTCTCCAAGGGCCAGTTGCTCTGGTGTTAACCGTCGTTTCTTTGCTTCTAAATGGATCATGAATCTACTCGTTGAGTGAGACTCCATTGAAGAAAACTTACTAGGTTTTAAATCCTCTCCTAATATGGTCTTGGAGGCTTCTCGCTTAGTTGCTCTATTATCTCCTAAACATACAGCTTCAGAAAAGATGGACAGAATAAGTAGAACGAAACATACCCTCTTCAAACTCCTCCTCCTCCCATGCCATTTCAGCAGCAAACTTTGATTTGCCTTCCTCCTCATCTTCAACATCATTTTCATCATCCTCAGCACCGCCATTCTTCTTGGAGTCATTATCGAATCCATCATTGTCATCGTCTCCACCTTTTCTTTTCTTGCCTCGCTTACCGGACATTTCATCATCGAAGCTTACTGAATAGATAGTCGACAAGTATTTTCGAAACGCAAAGAAATAATCTGCTTTGTATCAGCGACTCACCTGTATTCGCGTGGATGTTTTTACTTTGCCGTTTCATGTGCTTTTCGATCACGTCCATATCGTCATCGTCATCCTCATCAGACAGCAACCCAGCAATTTCTTCCTGAAACGAATTAACGAAGTTTGAACTAGATGGATGCAAAAGATAGTTACCTTCTGGAACCATTTATCCGCCCTTGTCTCTTTCTTCTGTGCCTTATTCAGACCACTTTCTTCTGTGTGGATGAGTTCGTTATCACTCTCATCGCTGGATTCCTCCACAATCTCATGTTTGTCTTCCTCTTCATCATCGGAACTCAAATCCATTATTCAATCGAGTTACTCACACGACGGACGCTGAAGCCAATGGAGACTTACCCTTCGCCTTCTCTCGTCTCCCATTCGCCGTCTCCTAGACCTTCTTCTCGATCATCCTCAGCCGTTCCGACGTTGTCTGCAGTCAACTTGTTCAGTTCTCGTGCCTGAAGCAAATGGAATTGCATAATCAGATGAATCATTTCAAATGAATAGTGGTATTTTTGTTGTAATGATTATCATATTTACAGGAGAAAAGCGTACCCTGCGAATCTTTTTTAGGCTGAACAATTCGATATCTTCCACTTGATCAGCGTGGTCGCCTTCGATGATCATTTTAAGCTGACGTCTTCTTATGATCTTGGCCTTTGCTTTCAATAGCCGTTTTTTCTTCCTGAAAGAATCCTTTTATACTACGATTACCAAAGCATAGTAAAGTAAAGCAATTACTTCTTCAATGCTGCACGTTCCTCTTCACTAGCTCGGGCAATCATTTCATCAATTTCTGCCATTTCTTTGTCTCTGAACATTACATATGACTTGGACACTTGCACAATGAATCGAGACTCACTCAATCTCGTCTTCATTCAATTCTGCTTCAGGCACATTTTCTTCACCAAGTTCTCTGCAACTCGGAATTTAGTTTTGAAAAGAATAAAATAACGCCGCAATTGTACGACTAACTCTTCTAAAGCTTTCAATTCCTCTTCCAAAATGGCTCTCATCGACTTTCTCCATTTCAGAAGTTTGCGCAGTTCTCGTGGGCCACAAACTTTCAGGTCTTTCAAGTATTCGCGAATCTGATAGGATATAATATGATGGAACAGGAAGCAAGACGGCCAAAATTGTTTACCTCCTCAGTGGTTTCCGGTGCATTCTTCCATTTCTCTTGATCAAGAACAATCTCATTTGCTCCGCCCAGCACTTCAAGATATTCCTTAAAGCGGATCGCAATACGAATTCCAATCTGGAGATTACACAGAACATTCTTACATGAGCTTGGATGAACGTCGTTGCATCGACTTTCTTATGCACTGATAGCATGCCCTCCTCATAACCTTCTGCCTTAGCTTTCCTCTCTTTCTTCCCGACCAAAAGCGTTTGGCTGAAAATGATAGATGCAGGAAAGGTAAGGATATAACCGAACAAATAGTTCAACATACGGATTTGGTTTATGCGCTTCATGACCATCGGGCTCAGAAAACACTTTTTTGTGATCAAGCAATTCTGGTGCCACCTATAACAATATGAATATGTATGTTCGTACTTTGGTAATTAGGAAGGCTAGATGAAATTTCGTAAGGCGCTCTGATATTATCAATAATTATTCAAAAATGAATAAATGAAAAGGAGATATAATAATATGAGCACATAGAAAAATTAAAACATCATGCCAAAAATCAAAAACGCTTATTACAAGAGGAAAAGGACCAACCTTGGGCGGTTTCAGATATTTTTCGCATACAACAAAAATCTCAGCTGACTCTAGTCGGGAAGCAGCTGGCTTCCAAACATGGACTTTTTTGAACAGTTTTTCGAACACCGTGATCAAACAAGAATAGTCATTTGATCGGAAAACCTGAAAAATCGTGATATACGGAGTTGTGAAGGATTCCGCAACTTACCTTTGTGACAAAGGTACCATTCTTCTTGAGGATTTGCGTAGCTAATCGCAATGCAGAAAGAACGAGACAATTCTGCTGGAAAGCATCGTGAGCCCAGTTGAGACCAACGTTTGGCGCACCATCATGAAGCACACAATCCGCCTGAATGAAATCACTGCATTAGTCTTACTAGTCGTTGTTGCAGCTGGAGCCAAGATTGATACAATTGGATTGATACAATTGGAATTTGAAATCACCGCATCTTAGCTTCTTTTCCAGTGGCCGACTTACCTCCCAGCGCTGTAGCTCTTTCTTAATAGCCTGCCTAGTCTTCTCGGTGGTGATGTCCCCTTGCAATGCGATGCAATTATGAATCGGCTTTATCGGCACCAGATCCACCCCTAGATATGATAACGGAATTCTCTCTTTCAAAGATGGATCAAAGCAAAGACAAACCTATCACCAAGCTCGACACTGGCATGTTCTGAGCTGCAACTTGCATCCATCCTCCTGGAGCTGCACACAAATCAACAGTAGCACGAGAGTTTTGCAAAAACTCGAATCTTTTATTAAGCTGGATCAACTTGAAAGCGGCACGGGAACGATACCCTAGAACGAGAAGAAGGTAAAGTGAATAACACAGTTTTGAGTAACGTACTAACCTGCTTCCTTGGCTAATTTATAGTACTTATCACGACGCTGTTTTCCAATTTTCACCTTTTTACCCATTTTGAAGAACTGTTAAAGCCAAAGCTGGAATAATGCGTTGGATATGAATAATCAGATTGAACCATTGAAAAACAACAAGAGAAGAGAAGCAAACAATGAAATGAGGTTTTGAGAGGAAAAACTGAATAAGATACAACGCCCCAGTCAACAACTTGAGCTCGCCACAACCGATATTGTCCATCTGAAAAAAACGCAAAACTTTGAACCTTTCTAAGGCTGCGTTCATACTGATTACGAAATCCGGGAACAGTTCCAGCACAGTGTCGAACTGAGCGTTGAGCTGGGACTGTTCCCGGATTTCGTAATCGGTATGAACGCAGCCCAAAACAGTACAGCTTCGATTCTGTTCATGAGGCAAGTAATAAAAGTTCAAAACTGACTGTTTTAGTATAAACGAGACTTTCGGAACCGAGAACTTTTTACTTTCAAGCAAATCTGCAAATTGATGTCTGCAATTGCACGCATCATTGATCTTGCGGAATCCGCTGTTCCCGCCATAAGCGTAGGTAATTTAGTTGTGTTACTTCGGCCCATTCTTAGATTGTGCTTTCCAGGGGGTGACTTTTTAGGTTCTGCTTTCCGGGCATCGGACTTTTACAGGGTGCAAAAATTTAACGGAATTCATATTTGGCGCGCAGTGCGAATGTCAGTGAGCTCACAGTAAACGAGGTTTCCCATTCCTCGTTCATTGGAAACATGTCATTGAGATGTGTCTATTCACATCTGGTGGCCAGGAGCTTGTAGGCCAAACCTGTCAAAGAAGTGGCTCATTATTAACCTTGTGAGTTGCACCATTATCTCTGAACGTCTAATCCTATAGGACTTTTCTATGTCTATGCAATACCACAAACTGATCGTGGAAGGAAACAAAATGCAGCGGAATTTTACGCATACATGTGCATTCTAAATTACTACTTGAATGGTTTGTACAGGGAGTTCTTCAACACTCAACACAACTGCGACCAGTAACGCCTGAACGAAATTTAGGTCTGTTTTGGGTAAATTTCAGTCAGAATGAGGGAAACAGCGTTTGTGACTTAGCGACTAGCAACTCGTTGTTTGCAACCTCGTGAACTTAGCATATTGCTGCTTAGAATAATGATCTGTGCTACTCCCCAAAATGAAGATGTCGCACTACTAAGTGAACGTACACTTATTCCAATTTGTGAGACAATGCAAATGCAGGATATGGATACTTAGCCACGGACCCATAGCCAATCATGTACCACGATTCCATGTTACACTGGGATGCCATAATGCTGATTAGTACGCAGATCCCGATAATTACTAACATTCAAGCAATTCTTCTACCATTCGAAATTCTTGAGCTTTATACAGTAGTACAGAGATAGCAAACGAGAATACTTTCTGATATAGCATCACACGAATTCTGCTGCTGCTAACACAACTCGAAATATAACAAAATTTATCAACAACAACAATTACTTCTTCTTGCCACCTTTTCCTTTAGATGAAACTACAGGTTCTTCAACAACAAGGGTATCATGACACCGTCCACAGTAATATCTGTTCTCGTGAGCAGCCATGAAGACTCCTCCTCCACAAGTGGGAGACTGGCATTCCTTACGAAGACGTCTGATTTTCCCGTTCTCATCGACCTAAAACGGTAACACTTGAACGCGCAAACAAGTACAAAATAAATATTTCAAACTGCGTACGACTAGCTCAGATACTCATAATAACAGTCATGAAACTCTCAGAGGCCTGGACACCAGATACACATGATCTTCATTGCTAGGAAACGTCGCCACTATATGACAAACTTCTTACCTCATAGTACTTCAGAACAGCAAGCTTGACCTTCTTTCTCTTATGCTTGATCTTTTTGGGAGTGGTGTAGACCTTCTTCTTTCTCTTCTTGGCACCTCCGAGTAATCTGAATGCAAAAATCACAAATGGGATCGATACCGATGATTTGGATATGCTTTCATTACTGACTCTAGCTCAGGTTACTCACTCAAATACAATCATGATACTCTCAGAGGCCTGGACACCATAAAATTAGAGTGTTCATCACTGCTAGAGTCGCTATACTATGATCGTAATACAGTATGCGTTAATTTTCTCTATTAACCAAGAAAATGCTGTACCTGAGCGACAGATGAAGAGTCGAATATGGCTCGACTTCATCGTCATCCTCCAGCTGACGACCTAAAACGTTAGCGAATCACGCAATGACAAAAGCTGGGTCCGTCCTCAAGAACCATCACTGGCTCTCTCGAGATTCAGCAAAACTATGACAAAACAGCCAAAACCAGCATATATGACAAAAAACTGTTTTGAAAACTCACCGGCAAAAACCAATCGCTGGTCCTCTACACTAACTCCTTCAAGTGCTTCAATTCGTGCTTTAATTCCTGGGACATTATCCTCTTCAAGGGTCAAAGTCTGACCCGAGAGGGTTTTCACGAAGATCATTACGTCTTGCTACCCAAGCCTGTAATGGATTCCTAATTACTACTGCCTATACGAGAATTCACGTAGTAGTTTTTTTACAAACGCCGGATTGGAAAAAGGACCCCGACAAGAAGAAGAATGCAAAAAGAAAAAACAACGTTTCCGAACAGCACACCGGAAGAATGAAATTGTTTAGGCATAGGCCAGCCCGCGGTTTCAGCCAGCGATTACGGTAGCTTGAAAATCAGGGGTTTGCAACCGCGCAAGATTTGCGACTGGAGCGCAGTGATCGTTACCGTAGGGATTAAGTGACAAAATGAGAACAAATACGGAACAGTTGAGGGGTGGGTAGCGGGTGCTGCAATGAAATACAGAGCAAGGACTGGGCTGAGAACTCAACCTTTGTAACCCAAACAAGATGGCCAAATTGCTCCATTGCTTTATCCGCAGCATTCACCTGACACTTTGATTAATATTACCGTTTGCAGCGCCAAGTGGTTTTTGGAGTGCGGTAAATGTGCCAGAATCCGATCTTCTTGGAATTATTGTTAGTTTAGGGGAGTCCTCTAGCACATTATGTATTAAGTCCTAACATAATTTTTGTGACACTTTTTTCATTTTCCTCCGAAAAATCCAGAAACTTTAGCAAAGTATAGTATTAGGCACATATGAGCAATGGACAAAAAACTATCTATTGGCATCTTTTTCACCTCTACAGATATGAGTTATACGCATGCAGTAATTATTAAGGATGAAGGCACTTCAGTCTCCATTATTTTTTATCTCTCCTCTAAAAATTCTCCCCTTTTTTATTTTTATGCTCTTGGATTACTTACGGCTTTTTCCGGGCGTTGATTCGGTTCGGAAGTTCAGGCATTTCAATAACGAAAGTTGGAAACTTGCTGAAAATGATCCGAAACTGTTGAAGATTTAAAAGTTGATTGTTAATGTATGACATTTGTCGAGACGCAGACTAATTAGAGTCCGACAGTCCCCTCGCCGACTGGGCGATGCCACCAACTTCGGAGCTGGCACTCCCCGGGTGCTCGGTGGTCCCCTCCCCATTAATGTCTCCTTTTGATATACATGCTATAATGATAAAATCATCTAATCAAGAACTCTTATGTTAGTGCAAATGAAAGAAACTAAGGGAGGGATCAAGTTGAGAGGATAGCTAACTCGTAAACTTGACATATCGAGACACAGACTAATTAGAGCCCGACAGTCCCCTCGCCGACTGGGCAGTGCCACCAACTTCAGATGAGCTGGCACTCCCCGGGTGCTCGGTGGTCCCCTCCTCATTAATGTCCCTCCTTGTGATATCATTATAGCATGTATATCAAAAGGGGGGACATTAACGGGGAGGGGACCACCGAGCACCCGGGGAGTGCCAGCTCATCTGAAGTTGGTGGCACCGCCCAGTCGGCGAGGGGACTGTCGGACTCTAATTAGTCTGCGTCTCGACATATTTATTTATTTATTTATTTATTGCAGAATTTTTGAGCTGCAAACCTGTACAACGCTCCATTTGATCTGAAAGCAAGAAAAAATCTTTTTAACAAGTTGTTATAGTTTTTTCTTCAAGTGTATCAACTGATGTTACCACCTAATAATTACGTTAGATTAGCGTTATCGCCAAATAAAACTTTTAGTTATGTTAGAATAGCGTTATTACCAAAATAGAACTTGTAAGAGTTGTCGAAATTTGCTCTGTCACCCAGCTTGATCGCACAGGAATCCTTTAAAGACAACGTACACCCAACAGTTAAGTTATCCAGTTCTCTATACCGTGTATATACAGGGCCCAGAAGAAGACCTACTGCGTTGGTCCGGTCTCCCAATGTTGCTTCTGCGGAGAAAACCCGCCTGATTTTTCTTTCACTCCATCCCTTTTCTTTCACTCCGCCTCATTCGGACGAATCCACATTAGCGCAAACTGCAGTTGCCTTCGTAGTCGCTGTTGCAACAGTGCAGTTGCTTTTTGCGGTCCGCCTCCTTCAGACGACGAATCTACGACAGCATACGCTGCAATTGCAGTTGCAGCTGCAGGCTGTCATGCAGTTGCAGCTGCTCCTCGCTCGCATGCCGACAGGGTCGAGCAATTCGAAACTCGTTCTCTTTGAAGAGAGGTCCCCAGGAATCGGGGGTTTTTTGGGAGGGGGGAAGGGAGTTAGGAGAATTTTAATGTCATGACTGTAATCAGGGGCACGGAAAGGCCCCAGAATGACAAAAACATCGAAGGTGAAATTTTGCAGATACGAAAATGTAGAGTAAGGGGGGCCCGTCCTAAAGCTGTTGCCCAACTGGCAATGCACCAGTTTGCTTCTGAAGCAAGAAATCACTTCAGAAGTGGCGAAAGGAACGCCCCGACCACCGGGACGAGTTAGTTCGATAATCCAGAGTGCGCATACTGCACACAGTCAAGACGTAGGGTCCCACAAAGACTCTGCGTCTTAACCTTGGCGGCAGGCGACAAAATTCAAATCAAGAGCATCTAGAAAAGCCCGTTTTCGGCGTTTTCGTGCCCTCCAAGTTGCATTTTCAAAATCAGCGGGAGGAATAAGCACAGATAAGCGAAAAAAACTCCATTTGAAATTTTGCCCGGACGCTGCCTTTAACGCACAACCCGATATCACAATCGTCACATGCTGACGACCCCCCACCTTAATTGTAAGCAGTTTCGGGGCTGACCCCACCGGTCCTCCGTCCACAATGACGTGACCGTGCTAAATCAAGATAGTTGTGTTGAATGATAGTACCAGACAAGCCTAAGCAAAGTCGCAGTCAACCATCTCGAGGTTTTGGATTGAAATAATATACAAATGTATTAGGTTGTAAAGAAAGTTCCCGGGCACTTTTGGAATTTTCATTTTCAAACGCATTTTTTCGGGGCTCGGTCGGACTTCAACGACTAGTTTTTTACACCGTTCGGTAGAGGGAAGCCTAAACTTTTCAAAACCGCTATTGATTTTTATCGATGCCAAAACGTGTCTGATCTGCACACCAAAAAAGTAAACCTTTCCGACCATAAAAATTTCACAATTTTTCTTTCTGCGGCCATTTTTTTGCGCAGTTCACAGAATTTCGTCCAAATCATGGGTGATCTGATTGAGAAGACTGTTGACTACTGACCCGCAGCTGCACTCGAGTTTGGCGATCTGTAGTCAGAATTTACAAGCCGTCGAACTTCTGACTGCATTTCTTTTCGCAGCTCGCGTCGCTTCTGCGGAGATCGCCACGCCTGGGTGATGGGTCCAAAAGAAGTGCAAGGCATTACCCCAACACGATTCGCAGTAATCAAAGTTTTTGGTCAGCCCTGTGCAGAACGAGAAGACTTCAAAGCAACTTACTCGAAAAATGGTACATTTTTGGGGGCAAAAAATGGTCGATTTTTCAAACTTTCTGGGAAAATTTTTTTGCAGGGAGTCCTTCAAAAACATGAATAGTCCCCATAACAGCCCCGGCAGAACTTTATATAATTACAACATCTGAGCTTTCCAGCTCTCATCCTGCATGAGATAATCCTGCGCAAATAGGCCACTTTTCGCGACGACCTTTTTCCCTTCTGCGCATGCTGGTGGACCGCAGTGAGGTGCTGAGAAGCCAGTAAGACAAAAGTATGTTGTGGACAAAATTGTCTTTGCAATGAAGTTTGGAGCTTTAGAAAAGAATCAATCTGCTTGAAGTTACAGCGATTTGAAAATAAATTTCGCAAGTGCCCGGGAACTTTCTTTACAACCTAAAATGACAACGAAAAGAAGAGGTCACTGTCCGCAAAATGAATGCTCGCCACAACTACTTTCAAACAGTTCACTTTTGTACTCATCAAGTGCCTGCTTCTTCACGCCCGCTTTTACGGTGCATCTGTACGGAATTGCGAAATACTGCCGCAGGACATTTTTGTTAAGAATTCCTTGTTTTCAAGGCTAGATTATAAAAAACCTCCTTGAAATCCACTTCAAGCAAAAATTCTCGTGCTCTCGAAAGCAGAAAATAAAGGAGCTTTGCAAGAAGAACAGCGCAGATGATTTGGGAGTTATCATTGTAAAAAGTTTGCTTGAGAGCATGATCTTACTCTTACTGCTATGTACTTACGTTGCGCCAGAGAGAGGAAATGGAAATGATCTTGAATTGGAACCTTGAAATGAGCCTGATCTTGCTTCTATTACTACTTGCAGAAATTCTTGTGCTCTCGAAAGCATTGCGAAAAAGATCGTTGAAAAAATGGAAATTCATTCTCTTGCTATTTTTAGTTGCATACAGACAGTTATTAATGTATCTGCCCCAACCCACTTGCTAGCGACCCGTAGGGTCGCTACTGCCGCAGGACATTTTTGCTAAGAATTCCTTGTTTTCAAGGCTAGATTATAAAAAACCTCCTTGAAATCCACTTCAAGCAAAAATTCTTGCGCTCTCGAAAGCAGAAAATAAAGGAACTTTGCAAGAAGAATAGCGTAGATGATTTGGGAGCTTGCAAAAAGTTTGCTTGAGAGCATGATCTTACTCCTACGACTACATACTTACGTTTCGCCAAAAATCGTTGAGAAAATGAAAATTCATTTCCTTGCTATTTTAAGTTGCACGCATATAGTTATCAATGTATCTGCCCCACCCACTTACTAGCGACTCGTAGGGTCGCTACTGCCGCAGACATTTTTCCGAACAATTCCTTGTTTTCAAGGCTAAGTTATAAAAAATCCTTTAAATCCATTTTAACCGCGCCTACTTCGCGAAAATTATGCTTGTGCATCCAAAGGCAAAAAAGCAAAGGTGGCTGGTCTCAAAAGAAGGAAGAGCAATGGGCTTAACAGCAAGACCTTTTTGCTAAATTATCCAATAGAAAGCTTCAGCGAGCTTTAGTATCGCTATAAGGATGCCTTCATACCGCACCGGCAGCCGTTGCTGGCAGCCCGTAGCCGCAGCTGGCCGCTTTGTCATAGAAGCTCAAAATCATCAAATTCTTGCTATTTTGAGCGCAAACGCCCACGCTTTCCATCTTCCACGCCTTTTCCTCCCTGATGTCGCAATTCGATCTCATATCTCGATCTCATATACTTTTGGCCATTGCTGTTAAAATCTTGTTGCCGTAGATTGGGTTATCCTGCTGGCTCAGTTTCCCTTTCGCAGTTGAACCATATTTCGCCAAAGTATCTTTGCGGTGTGATCGTCTGACTTTGGATGCGTCCAGTTTCTGCAGTGTTTATTTTCTATGCATGGTTCTGCTTCAATTATATCCTTGGCCGGTGCTTATCTTGAATAACTCTGTAATGTGTGAACATGGAACTGCAGATTTGCCGCAACAGAGAGGAAAAAGCGTGGAAGATGGAAAGCGTGGGCCTTTGCGCTTAAAGCAGGAATTTGATGATTTTGCGCTTCTATGACAAAAGCAGCCAGCGACGGCTACGGGCTGCTAGCGGCGGCTGCCGGCGCGGTATGAAGGCACCCTAAGAAATGACCTCATCTATTGGGAGACATTATCAAAGTGTGCTGCGCATGATTGCGACGGTAGGTGTGTGCGGCCATTGCCTGAGAAGAATTCTGTAAGGTTCCATCATCCAGTGAACAAATCCATATTTTTCAGAATCGCTGCAGGTAACCAAAATAAAGTATGATTGTTGAAAAGCGTTCAAAAGAAGGAAGAGAACTGAGAGAACTCCATGCATAAGCAATGGTGAACTCACCGATCTTTGCTATCATGCAAAGCTCCGTTTTCTTTCGAAGATACTTCACCAAGTTTGGTTGAAGTCGCTTTGAAAAATCATCATGACTGGGTTTTTTGTTACTGGAAGCTTTTTAAAACATGACACAGTCTCTAAAAATCAGCCTGAGTTTCAGTTTGTGTCAGATTTCAATGTAAAATTTATGAGAACTGCTGAACATCTGTTTTGGGGCTGCTTCTACTTTGTGGAAATTGTATGGGGCATTTGAAAAATCGCAACGATGACGCGACCGCGCGCATTAGCACGCACTCCCAATTCTTGATTTCTATCTCTACTCAGATAGTTTTTCCGCTTACATAAGATAGTATTCAGGTACTGGAAATGACTGTACTTAGCGTTGAGGCGTTGCCTGTTTGTATGGGTGTTTTATCCTTCTATGTGCGGAAAGACCGCAGTCAACTCGTCGTCACGATTTTAAAAATGAAAACCATACTTTTGCCAATAAAAACAAAAGAGGGAGCTTGTCTCGAGGAAATAAAAGACCTAATGAGTTCATGCGGCAGTCATTTTTGATATAACTCTTTAGGTTTCAGGCTTCTCACAAAACATGCTTGGAATACATTTTGGCTGCTTCTACTTTGCGAAAATCATATTTCTACCTTAAAAATCAAAAAAAGCATAAGCGGATTGGTCTCGAAGGGAGGAAAGCTGCAGAAGCTTCATGCGGCAGTGCATTTCTGTCGCTAATTTCTCAGTTTTAATGCTAAATTATACAAAACGCTTGAGGTCAACCGCTTTTACTTCGAAGAAATCACACCTCTGCCTTTTATAACAAAGAAACAAAGGGACGTTGGTCTCGAAGAATAAAAGGTTCCAAGAGCTTCAAGCGGCAAACATTTCTCCTAAGAAATTCTCAGTTTCAATGTTAAATTATACAAATCTCGCAATTCCATTTTTGACCGCTTTTATTAATTCTTAAAGGAAGTTCCCGGGCACTTGCAAAAATTTCAGATCGCTGTAACTTCAAGCAGATTGATTCTTCTTTAAAGCTACAAAATTCAACGCAAAGATTTTGTCTACAGCATATATTTACCTTGCTGGCTTTTCATTGTTTCACTGCGGTCCACCAGCATGCGCAGAAGGAAAGATCGACGCGAAAAGTGGCTTCTTTGCGCAGAATATCTCAGGCATGATGAGAGCTGTACAGCTCATATGCTTTAGTTATATAGAAGTTTGCTGGGGCTATCTTGGAGACTATTTACGCCTTTGAGCTGCTATCTGCAACTCAAGTTTTTCCAGATAGCTTGAGAAATCGACCATTTTTTGCCCCATAAATGCGCAAATTTTAGAGTAAGCAACTTTGTTTTTTCGTTCTACACAGAAGGAACCATATCTTTGATCATTGCATAGATTGTTGGGCTAATCCTTATACATCTTTTGGACTCAATGGCGATCCTCGCAGAAGCGATGTCAGCTGCGAAAATAGTTGCAGTCAGAGGCAAGTTTGACAGCTTGTAATTTCTGAGCGCAGATCGCAAAACTCGAGTGCAGCTGCGGGTCAGAAGTTAATAGTCTCCTCGACTGGATCATACACGATTTGGACGAAAACCTATGAACACAAAAAAATAGCCGCAGGAAGAAAAATTGTGAAATTGTCATGGTTAGAAAGATTTCTATTTTTGACCTGCACATCGTACATGTTGGCATTGATGAAAATTAGAAGCGGCTTCAAGATTAGGCTTCCTTTTACCGAACAGTATAAAAAAATTTGATGTTGCGACGGAGCGACAAAGAAAATGCATCAGAAAAAAGTCTTCAAAAGTGCCCGGACTCTTTCTTCACAACCCAATATTTCGCAGAAATTATACCTCTGCCTCCAATAACAAAGAAGCAAAGCGAGAGCTTGGTCTCGAGGGAAGGAAGGCCTAAGGGTTCATCGGCAGTGCAATTCTGCTAAGATTTTCTCAATTTCAATGCTAACTATACAAAACCTCGCTTGTCGACGTTAGCCGCTTTTACTTCGCAGAAATCGTACCTCTGCCTTCTATAATAAAGAAGCAAAGCAAACTTGTCTTGAAGGGTCCCGAGGGCTTATGCGGCAAGATCAATGCTAAATTATCATATTGCTTGAAACCCACTTTAGCCGCTGGCCGCTTTTACTTCGCAGAAATCATACTTTTGCCCTTTAGCGAAAAAGGGAAGGGGGCTTGGTCTCGAAGGAAAGAAAGTTCCATGTGCTTCAAGCGGCAAACTTTTCTGCTAAGAATTTCTTAGGTTTAAAGCAAAATTATACAAAAAATTGATATCCACTTTTGAACGCTTCTATTTCGAGAGTACTTCTGCGAATAAAAGCAAAAAAAGCAGGGAAAGCTTGGTCTTAGGGGAAGGAAAACCCAGGGGCTTCATGCGGCAGGACACGTTTGCTAAGATTGTACAGGAGAAAGCTTTGAGCGAAATTTGGTTCCGCTTCAAGAAATTACCGTTTCTTGGCGAGACATAATAAGGAGAGCATAGGACTGCATGATCGCGAAGCTCGATGTGTTAGCGGCCGTTGCACAGTTCCTGAGTGTCAGCCTGAGTTTCGGATTGAATCAGCTGTTCTACATAGATGACTGCTTAGGCGATTTCCATTTTTTGGAGCTGGGGTTTGGTATTTGCAACAAGAACAGCGTATATGATTTGGTAGTCAGCGCAAAAAGTTTCCTTGAGAGCCTGATCTTGCTTCTACTACTTGCATTTCGAAAAAGATCGTTGAAAAAATGGGAATTCATTCTCTTGCTATTCTTAGTTGAACGCAGACAATTATCAATGTATTTGCCCCAGCCCACTTACTAGCGACCCGTAGGGTCGCTAGTGAGTATAATAAGCATCAAGCACTAGCAAATAAATACTTCGTTTTGTACTAGTTTGATGACGAAACACGTTATGCGATACATCGTAGACTGCCAAGGGCGAATCCTTCATATTCTTTGCTGCTGCTTGTATGGAATTTCTCATCCGATTACTGTTGAAAAAGATAGAAAGAGGGGGAGGGGCGAATGCTTCCTCCCTATCGCGTTTTTCCTTTTTTTTTGTTTTAGAGCTGGTCTTTGACTGCGGTATTTCCTAGCCTCTATATGATTTCAATAAAGTACCTTCCATGCGATAACCATCATCCCAGTATGGGTTTGAAGGTGCTGACAGAGAGATTCTCCTTTCAAAGGTCTGCTGCTCGTAAACTCGTGCTATAGAAAGCCTCTTCTTGCTCTTTCAGATGTATGTTTGTTTTTGCTGCTGACTACCTAGACCTATTGTTCTTTACATGCTATTGAACAGAAAGTTCAGAAATGCTCTTTGCTCTTGCGTGTATGACCTGGAATCATTCGAAAGAGGTATATATTTTTTGGACCATACCCAAAGCAAATCTTCATCTAGCTGATCCTGAGGCGTAATCATTACGTTCGTGCATAGTCTTGACCGCCTTAGATGGCCTACGAACTTCTGAAGGAATAATTCGTGAAAGCCTCTCTAAAAGGTAATTAGGATGTCAGAAGCTACTTACACCCGAACTACTTTATTAATTTGCATGAAGTCCCGAATTTTGGGGCCGTTCGAAAAGAAAAGGCCAGATAGTTGACGAATTTGATTTTGCAGCCTTTCTATTCTGCAAGAAGAGCCTCGGGAATCTTGTTCTGTTCTGAATCTTGGAATCTGTTTCTATACTAATAGCCTGTGGCTAACGATAGAGAAATTTTTAGCTACATTACGATCTCGGGAGTTGTATTTAGCGAGGCTCAAGAAGTGTTTACAGTAGCAGCTGTAAAGGTGTGCAAGAAACTTATAGCTGCAAATGACAATGATGATTACGCAATTTTTGAAAATTTGAAGTAGACATTCAAAAATATTTTCCTCGATTGTTCTGGAGTCCTGGGCACATTACTTCAGTATGCGAGGATTCATAAAAGCCTATATTTATGGAAGCACATCTCCTCGAAAACTCAGAACAAAACCTAACTTCATTCATTGTCATGCATTCTTTGAAAACAATGTGTAATGGAACACCCAACATTAAAACAAGGAAATTGTGAGATATGGAAATATTTTGAGGCAAAAAAGCACAAAATTCATATTCGGTAGACTTCAGAGATAAACATATTGCATGTAACATGAACTAGATACATATTTCTACGTTTAAAACAAAATAAAACTCAATTATTTTCAAAGTACTACGCAAGAAACACTCACTCTTCCATAAAAGACTACGTCTCAAGTACCAGGGCCAGATAGACAAAAAACCAAAATTTCACGATTAATATTGGACCATGTAACCGCCATCCAGACAGGGGATACTTCGAGATAAAAGTCGCATAGATCTGGCTACGGTAGGGGAGATGCACTTCAGCGGGTGGTAGTTGGTACGACTGGAGGTACGGGTAGTGGTAACCCAGGTGGTGGCGCGCTCAGTGTCGGCACTGGTATTAGCCTAGGTGGCAGCACGCCCGGCGGCGGTATTTCATATCCTGGCGGCACCGTATATGGCATTCCAAACTGAAGAGGCGGTCCTGGCTCTAAAGAGATAATTATGAAACATAAAAATCGACATGGACGCCAAATTATTTATTAACTATTTTAAACATGAACAGCAAACAACATTGAAGCAAATAAGATGCATAGGTGCGATGGGGTGAGCAAAAGCTCACCCCCCCTTCACTTTGGAAGTCGGACCACCCCCCCCCCCTTCACCTGAAAGGGACGAAAAATTTTTTTCAATGTGAGGAATTACTGCACACGGAATTACAAAAATATTGAATGAAAAAATGCATTTTTAGAAGGATCGGATGTTGTAAAAATGGGTTCGAACTACAACGATATGGGCAGCGGGCAATGGCAGACATTAAGAGGCTTGAAGGGCGCTGATGGACAGCTTTATTGGAAAATGTTGATGTGAACGATGTTAATAAGAGCCATTGATCATGAATTTTTTTGCAAATAAATTGTTTTGTCGGTATTTATGTGCTACAATAAAAGAATTTGTTGTTCATTTGTGTTTGCTTAGAGCATAATAAACATATAGAGTCCAGAATAATGATAAAAATAGTATAAATGATGTCAGGAGAAATTTCTAGGGCATTATAGTTGAAATCGCAGTGCTGGTCATTTTTAAGAAAAGTCAGTTTTTGAGTTAGTATAAGTTAAGTCTGTTGCATAACATCATCTTGCGAGAGTATAGGCGTTAGTAAGTAACCTTTCCCCTATCATACAGAAAAAAAAAACTGGATCCTAAAAAGAATTTCTCTTAGAGTTACGAAGTCGCAAATAGAGCAGAAAACAAACTCCAAAAATCGATTTTTCGCAAATAACTTGTGTATATGTAAACGAATTTGAGATGCGAGGGTATAGGTAGATTCTAATCTTCAAGAGCTCTCGATTGATATAGTGTGTGGGGGTCCTATGTTTTTTAAGCCCTGCGAGGGTGGGTGAGCGGCCTCAGTTCAGGGTGCTCACCCCCCCGCCACCTTAATGCATTAGAGAGGCGCCGGGAGGTGAGCAGGCTTAACTGAGACTGCTCACCCCCCCCCCCCCTCGCAGGGCTTAAAATACATATTACCCCCACATGTTATATATCGTTCGAAAGCTCTTGACGAGACGAATCCACCATACTATCGCCGTTTTGATTATTCACTTATACAAAAGTTATATTAAAAAAATCGATTTTTAATGGGTTTCTTTGCAGCTTCATATCTCGGCACGGGGGCATTCCATGCTACACTTTTTTTGCATCTTACAGAGGGAGGTTTACTGAGTCTTACCTATACCCTCGCAGAGAGATCGGATGTACTAATGGAGAGTTACAGCAGGGAATAAAAGGCGCTTGAAAAACACAGGTAAATTTTGAATTTTAGTTAGTAGGTCCCGTGGAATCCCTTTGCGAGGGTATAGGTAATACTAAATGGACCTCCTTCTTGAAGATGCAAAAAAATCAAATCATGAAATGCCCCCACTGTGGAGATATGGGGCTCTGACGTGGAGGGGGGGTGCCGTTGGACCTCTGGAAACTATCTCACCTGGCAAAGATATTGCACCTCACAAATTATATATCGTTGTATAGCTTCTAGAGGCCAGAATTCAAATCTAGCTTAAACTTAGCTTTAGCCCATTTATCCAAGAGTCATACTGGAGAGATCTACTGCAGTTACTCAAGTTAGAAAAAGTGACCTTGCTCAATTCTCGTCAACATCGTAGCTTCACCCCAGACATCAGTTACACTAGTCTCATCACTGTGCTACACTGTGTATGTTTATTCTGCTCCAAGTGGACACAATTGAGCAACACATTTTTTTATTGTGTTCCGTAGATACCGACTTACGTATTTATTTGCAACAATAATTCCTAATCATCGCGGAGTCTCTTATTAACATTATCCACATTTGCACGGTCCAGGTAAAACATCATTCAGCACCTTCCAAGCCTCGAGTATCTGCCATTGTCCATTGTAATTTTCGGTCGCAATCACATTTACAACATTACACGTTCCACCCACCTAAACATGCATTTTCTCACCGAAAAATGGTGTACGAAAATAAAACAATATTTATATAAATTCAAAACAAAGTACTTATAAACATTTCATTAATGATATTTCATACAAATTCAGTTTAGAAGATTTGACCATTTAAGCTGGATAATTTTATAATTTTCACCATTTTTTCAGTCCCCCCCCCCCCCCCGGTCGACGCCGGCACTTTTTTGACACCCTTCACTTTTGAGGGTCAAAATCGGCTGGGACACCCTTCACTTTGGAGGGACACCGATCACCCCATCGCACCTATGATCAGATGTTACGAGAACTATATATTTAAACTTTGAACTTGATCGGAGATCGGAATTACGGTGGACGATAACTCCAAACGACATTCGATGCAGATTTTCCTTCTGTTTTCAGCAGCTACGCCATCGATCTGATTTTTTTTTCATACGCATCAAATAATCACAAAATAAGGCCAACGTCTTCCCCTTGAGTAAATTTGCCTTATTTTCAAAAATTCTATTGGAGTTCTAAGAAATTCAGTAAGACGCGAATGGTTTAAGCCATCTCCAGTACAAATCCTCATTCGATGTTTTCCAATTGGCTCTTCAGGTTTTTTTACTATTTTTTTTTTGTTTCACCGCTTGAAACCCTGATTTTGAAATTTTGTGATTTTGCATACGCACCTGTGAAAAAAAGGAAAAAGTTTTGTATTGAAAACTTCTGCAATTTTCAACCGCAGTCACAGATTAAGTTAAAAAAATAAGCTACTGGAACCGTTAAGAGTACTCAACTATTCGTAATCCTACTTAATTCAAAGGTATATAAATTCAGAATAAGAAAAAAGTCCTCATCTTTTGTTTCACTTGATACACAACTAGTATAACAAACAATTTCCAGTGACCATCTGCACTGGAACTTACCGCAGTTATTGAACATGGGAAATGGCGGCGGGAGCTGATAATGGCCGAATGGAAACATGTAAGGATAAGGCGGTGGTGGTGGCTAAAAAGCAGGGCTAACCATTAACTTAACGGTAACAGTACTCACAAATGGTGGAGGAAAGTATGGAGGTAGAAATGGAGGAGGAGGTACATTAAATCGATTGTTCAGCGTCTGACCCCTGAGCAATAAATCTTCGTAAAGAGATATATGTCAGAAGGATTATTTTGGAAATGACTCACATCTCCTCAACCCCATTACCATTCAGTATACCACTCCCCTCATCGCGCGGAGTCGGTGGGACAGCAGCAAGCGTTTGCGGAGGAGGCAAGGGGATACCGAGAGGTTGGCTATGGACAACAGAAGCCCTACGCGACACTGCGTCTACTGGAGCATTCGTAGAGCGGGTAGCCTCCCCAGACCCAGGCGGTGCAACAGGGATCTGATGTGCGTTATCTGGAGCTGGAGGCCCGGATGTCTCCTTCTCAGATGCAGATGCGATGCAGTCGTCCAGTGAGATGTGGGCCTCTTGAGGTGGTGTTTTTGGTCCTGACTGAAAAGCACGTCTTTAGAAGAGTTCAAATCGTAATTAGGTTGTTTTAGCTCTGAAATTATGGATTGCGCCATACTTTTCAAAAATTTACAAGCAATAAAGCAATACCTTTATACTGAGGGAGGTTGAGCCATTATCTCCACGACTACGTGACAATAGTGGGCTTAAGCGCGGAGGAGATGGATTTTCTTCCAAAAGACCGTCCTGTCTGCTCTTCTTACTGAACAAACGAGCCGTTGTTGCAAGACGCCTTTTTGCGTCTGAACAGAGGTATTACTGACAGACGGACAAACTGCAGTGTACAACCAAAAACTGCAACGAACTCTTTTCACATTTATCAACAGGTCGAGAGTGTTCAGATTCAGATTGTGAAGAAAGCTTATTTGGATCCAATGGTGGGGGAGGTGGAGGCGGCGGAGGAATCAACAGTTGAACATAGTCTGAATATGACTAAGTGTTTTTCTGGTATACCTGGGGCTCTCCGAGTAAACTTACCGCTGCCAGCGGGTCCTTGATTGTCTAGAGAAGAAAATGAAGTCTGAGCAGAAGGTAGCGATGGAGGAGCTTGTGTGCCATGGGTAGTGCAAGTCACACGCGGAGCTGTAACGCCGCTCGAAGATGCGTTGGAAGCTGGCTCCCATACAAGTGAGCATGGCTGGTTAAGCTGCTTTCCCGCTGCCTCTTCGATTGCTATAAAATAAAGGGGCCCTGATGGCACTTATAAATTACGTTCACAGTCCACAACCCTGCAGTGTTCTTTGCTGTGGAATCCCACTGGATGGAGATGGTTGCGCAGTGGGTGGAGTGAAGGAGGCGGGTGATGTAGGAACTTCCGCACGCAAACTCCATGTCGGCGAATTTTCGTCGTTTTCACTGGTTTCACTAGATAAATCTTAGAGACCCATCATACTTCCCCTAGAAAAGCCCAAAAGCTCTCAAAAAAGCCAGAAAAAGCCCGAAAAACCCAAAAGCGCCAAAAAGAGCCGGAACGCCCCATTCCGCGAGCACGTTTTAGCGCTAAGGCATGTGTGTTGATTTCGCAACTGGGTCTTTCTGGTTCATTTTCTGTCTCTGCACATAAAAATAATGTCAGAATTCTACAAAAGTTGGTTTCTGCGTGTCGGCTCTTTCTGGCGCTTTCGGGCTTTTTTGAGCGCTTTTGGACTATTCTCGGCGAAGTATGATGGATCCCTTATTGTTAGTAGATGAACTTCCTCAGCTGACAGGGCATTTCACTACTTTCTTCAAAAAAGAGGCATACCCATCTTCAACGATGTCCATCGCCGACGTATTGCTAGAATTTTGCTTGAGCACTGGAGCACGATAGAGTGCGGGCAACCTGTAAAGAAAGTCTGCTGATAAATAATATGTTCAATTCAAAATCTGCTCGTCTTTGATTCTCCACGACACCTCCGCGAAATTTTACTAGGAAAAACCGACTGTAGTCCTTCTTCATGAGCATCAATTTGTGCATGAAATGGTGTCCGCGATGCCGAACGGAATCCACCTAAGCAGAAAACCTCAAAACATAATCGCTTCAACATGTCTGGGCCAATCTCCTCTTGTCTTGTTCTCCTCTCATCTCTTGCCAATCTCTCTCTCAATCCAATCTCTTGCCAATCTCTTCCAATCTCTCCCAATCTCTTCAAGACCAAACTTTTGGAACCAGTAAAAAACGTATTGAAGCCGTGGTGGCGGATAAACAATTATGTATCTAACTTGTTGTTATTTGTAGTTAATAGATAAGGTCTCTGAGAACATTCAGAATTCAAACTAACTAGAGAAGATCCATTTTCCGATTTTAAGACACTGCGCTCTCCAAAATTTCAAAAGCATAATTCTTCTTTGAGGCCCTCTAAAGCCACGCCCATCATTTGAAAAAACTTCCTCTCCTTCTCCGATGAAAAAAAAAATTCATGGAACCGCCATTCAGAGCTCTCCATTGTCACAAGTGTACACGCGTAGATTTGTAGCATAAGAGGGGAAACTTCGTTTTTTTTGAGCATTTCGACACAATGTACCTATACGTCTGCTAAGATAGTGAACAAGGACAGAACCTGTTGCTCTTTGTCGAATATGAGCACAATTTCACCTTTTAGAATTTTCTAGGTTTTGCTTTGAGCACTCAGATTCCAGATATTTTCCAGAACTTTTGATATTCCAAAGCTCATCAGTGGATAACACACTACACACAACACTAAAAAAGTAGCTAAACATACCTTCAGAATTCAACACTTGGGTGTCTTTTTCTTGCGCGAACTGTAAGAAAATGATTAGCAGAGGTGAAAAATGTATGCATGAAGCAGACTAACCGAATGCGATTTTTCTGCGAGGTTGCGAAGAGCCTAAAATAAAAAAGTAGGATTGAAAACGTACGCAGAGTTTTGAAAAGAGTAGGTAGTAGCGCTTACAGTTCTGGGTAGATGAGGTGTTGGACCTAGTGGTGTTGAAGTAGACCTCTTCGGAAACGGTGTAGGTGGGCGGCTTTTTGGAGGTAATCTTCGCTCTACAATCGTATCTTTGTAGATGAAGAGTATGGACTGTAGATGAATAGTATGGACGATCCGGAAGGGGCACAAAACAGTGAGCCAAAGAGACAATTTCGTTTTATAAGCAAAACTTAAATCTTCCAGTAGCAGTACATAGCAGGCAATTATCCACAGAATCTCAGATTTTTAGCGAAAATGTTGCGAAGAAATCTTTATGCACACCGATGCAATGAAAGCATTTTGAAGTGCTCTCCGTAGGCATAGTGAGATGTGGGGGACGCTAAGGTAGAGTTCTATAGAAATGTTAAAGTCAAGCTTTAACATTGAAAAGATAGCTTTTTGGCTTGCAAAGATACAAAACTGGAACATACTGGGACTTGAAAGAACTGCTTACATAGCGCTTGAAATTCCTTTGTAAGTTTTTCTGATGAATAATGAATATCAATAATAACCTTATGGGCCTCGTCCCATTTTGTTGTGAATTTGATCTTCACGTCATTTCGGGCGCTACTCCACATTAGTTGACCCAAGAAATGAAAATCGTGAATTTTGCTAAAACTTCGTCAAGGGAGCTTACTTGGTACGCTGAACACGAATATGATGTTTATTTCGTGCAACAGCGCCATCCGGTGGAGTTACGGCAGGGGGTCAAAATCACGGATTTGCCCGAAACTTGGCCCACAGGTGTTATTCGGCCCGCTGATGCTGAATATCACATTGGTTTTGTACCAATGTGATATTCAGCATGTATTGTAGTGTCATTTTCTCGGGTTACGGTGGGTATACGGTAGAGAGTCAAAATATCCCGCTGTAACTTCGCACTGGGGGGTTATTCGACATGCTGATTAGAAATGTCACATTTTCCCCGCACGAAAACGTCTCTCTGCATGGTTACGGTAATTTTACGGTAGAGGTCAAAATCACAAATCGGCAAATGTATTCTTCCCCTGTGCTTTGCTTAGGCAAAAGCCGCAGCAGGGTGTGTAGCGCGCCGCGGTGGTCGTGTGCAAATCACAATCGTCCAAATGCCGCACACCCGTTTCAGGCAGAACTATGTTTTGCACCTGTTACCGTGTAGCTACCGTAACCCGAAATGACGATACGGTTTAAAACCAATGTGATATTTGACATCAGCGGGCCGAATAACCCCTCTGGGTCAAGTTTCGGGCAAATCCGTGACTTTGACCCTATACCTAGTCCTACTAACTCCACCGGATGGCGTTGTCGCACGAAATAAACATCAAATTCGTGTTCAGCATTCCAAATGACTCCTTTAGACGAAGTTTCGGGCAAATCCATGATTTTGACCCCTGCCGTAATCCTACCATAACTCCACCGGATGCGCTGTCGCACGAAATAAACATCATATTCGTATTCAGCATATACCAAATAACACCCAAGACGAAGTTTCAGCGAAGTTCACGATTTTCATTTTTGGGGTAACCAATGTGGAATAGTACCTTATGGAGAATATAGTCGATTCGTTGACCGCACGGCTGAATATCATTGCGGAGCGCGCGCCGCGAGGTAAAACGCTTGCCCCAATACAAATTCGCCGTTGTAGATACAAGGTCGGACTCTAGCAACATTTCAGTCGCGCCGGGCGTGGTCGAGTTTGAGCAGTCCGTGCGGTCAACGAATCTCCCAATTAAAAAGCTGTCAGATCTGTAAACCTCCAATACCTTCAAAGGCTGGTCCATGTTCCTCTATTACTTCAATCTCGTCCGCGCCCGCTGTTGTTTCCACAGTAACTGTAGCAGCCACAGGTGGTGCACCCGGTATGTCGTCGAACACCGGCACTATCCATTTATTCACAAACCAAAAAAAGCTCGCTTCTCGTCTCACGTCTTCGAGAGTGACTCGATGTTTGAGCAAAATGAACTGCTAGAAAACAAACGGTGACCATAGGCCATATAATGGCAACAGCTTCCGCGCAGTGCAACGGCCATGTATAGGCTGCCGCATGACGAAGGCGCAATGTCTTTGGTAGGTGCCACAGTAAGCGAATATTTTGTTCAGTTTCCTTCAGCTGCAAAAGGCGCACAGAATTAACATTGATTGCGCGGGACCTGCAGCTGAAGCAGGCCTTGGCAGCAGTAGAGATTACGCAGCAGACATTAATTCTGCGCGCCTTCTGCAGCTGAACGAAGCTGAACAAAATATTCGCTTACTCTGGCACCTACAGCGCGAACGCAGGTCTGTTAGCCGCAGAGCGTATGAGGCAGGCGCAGGATTTACGACGGTTTAGATACGTAGCACCGCGTCCGCGCCTGCTCAGGCTGCTTCTGCTCGTCATGCAGCGCCTTTGAGTGCGTGAGCCAGCCTATTTCCCAAAAATCGCCAATTTGGTTATGTGCTCTTAAACCTGCTTTTCATGTGTGATTCTCATTCTTTTCTTGACGAGTAAAAGCTACGAATGTGGGTTGTAGTCATACTATTGCCAGAAGGCCAGTCCGCGCGTGATGGTGTAATTGCACTGCGTGGCGTGGATTACGCGGATTGATAAGGTGCCACCTCGCTTCAGGCTTGCACCACATTGCGTGCGCCTCTTGGCTTGGTGTGGCAATGAGAACAACATGAAAAAGCCTGGGCCATGTTGTTTTGAGCGCCACTCACCCCAGACGATATGGCCGCAACGTGGCGAAGGCCCGAAGCGAGGCGGCGCCTCATCAATCCACATAATCCACGTCAAGTTGAGGGAAGACATGGATTGATATCGAGGGTAAGTGTGATCGTCTCCACAATTCGTGTGGAGGCGGATTGCGGACCTCCCCTGAATTTAAGGATGAACTTGCTAAACCTCCACGTCATAGCATTGTTCTTCGTACTCTCTCGCTATCAAAAACTACAACGCTTTGAGTTGGCAAAATCCCGTCTCCACACGAATAGTGGAGTCGATGATTGATATGTCTAGCTTGTACTAACAAGCTGTAAGCTAACAAGCTTGTACTATTTGTAAGCAGCAACCTCTCCTCCGTCTCTCGCGTTGCATTTACATCCGAGGCACATTCCCTTCAAGAAAAAACGTATTCCGCATAGTTTGCAGTAATAATTAAAGACGAGATCGGAGCTGTAAATGTGATATCACCAAAAAAAATTATGACAATAATCTTTCTTACCCTTTCAGCTGGGAGAAATGTAATGCCACATGATCCATTATAGAAATCATGGAGAAACTTCTGTTCTTGAGGCAGCCCTCAACATTACATCGGTAGCGTAACTGTTTTCCAGGCGGAATAACTACCTAAAAAGCACAAAGCTGATGAAAGTTTGTTTTATGCACAATCTTTGACGTACTTCCTCCATTTCCACAGAAGTTTGTTCAATGCGCACAACAACTGCCTGTAAACTTTCCTAGCTGAAGCAAGGAAATCAGAGAACTAGAATCTTGCATCATAAATGCCGAAATTCGCTTCAATAGGACTCGAAGCACAAAGTCTAGGACTATCCAGCGGCTCACCACTGACGTGTAAAGATGGCGAAGCACTCTTCTGGTTTCACCCTCAGAGTGCAAGACTTCGTTGTTGCTTTGTTCAAGTTTTGAGTCATAGCATGCCCTCACTACATACTTTTGGATCGATTTTTCAAAACTGTCAATAATTATGTCCATGATGCGTAGAGACTGGAGATCGCCAAGTATCAGCCTAAAAGACCACCGATTCTATACGCGGTTGATGAATACCTATCAAAGGGGTGCTATACTCCTCGAAAGCTTTGGTGCCTCCCTTAAATTTCGATTTCAAGGTAGTTTTGCCAACGAACATCATGTAATCATTTTCATATGGCTTCAATTATGACCCCCTGCTCTCTCCGACCTCTGGATGCGACCTCCAGTGGCCGAATCCATCGACGAACCCACTGGGTTACCCAACCCACTAGTGAGCAGACCCACTGGTCATCCACAAAGCTGATGAGTTGGCCTACCAGCGGCTTTACTCATCCAGTGAGACTCGTACCTATAGTTACAAATGGCTGCGAAGAGCGCGCCCCGTGACCCAATGCAAATTTGACCGGCGCGCAGGGCGTTTGCTGTAAGAGCGTGCAATTCAGACACAGATGTCTACTATTTGAGCTACATAGGCAAACCAGTGAAGATCCTGATTGTTGACAGCTTATCAAATTATGAAACGAGCTGGTACCGAGAATTTCACTGAGAAAGCGGCACAAGTTGACGGTGGAAGGGTAAGGCACCCGCCATACTTGATCCGCTTGATCCGCTTCGTCTTTGGTCGATTCAGTGAATTGAGCAATCAAAGCGGTTGTCCGCTTGATCCGCTTGATCCACTTCATCCACTTCACTATTGGTCAGTTCACTGATTTGGCCAATGATGAAGCGGATCAAGCGGATCAAGCGGATCAAGCGGATCAAGTATGGCGGGTGCCTAAGGATACATGATTGATCTTTTTCTGTGGACTTTTTGCATGAGTTCTCTCGTACGACCTTTTTCTAATGGCATTTTTGTGCAGTATGACTCCGTTCCTTGCTGGTAAAGGTCAAAAAGCCTTGTATAGGCCCCTTTCCTCAGATCTTTGCTTGTGTTTTGAGTACAAATCAGGCTACTTTTTTGCGCATTCACGATGAGGGATTTTGAATCCACATCTCGTTTCTTATACTGAATAGAAGTATCTTATGCTATGAGCTGATCTAAAACAACCATGGAAGGCGGCTCTTCGTTCAACAATTCAGACTTTCTTTTCATCTGTCACAAAGAAGGTCAAAGAGGCCGCGTTTACACCATCAAAACTCGCGAAGGAAGTCCCTTCAATTCATTATACTGCTGTTCACGATATTCATCCGATTAGGATCAGAACTGGTGTTCAGTGGTTTTCCATCACACTCTTCCCAAATGTGCCAGTGGTGTTGTTTAACTCTTCCAAAGGTTTTTATAGTTCAGGTTTTCTTCGTGAATCTCACTGCTAAATTGGGAGCACCGATTAGGATTGTTTCTCCGTGTTGTTTCCGAATAAGTCGATAGCAGTAGGCCTATGAAGGTCATTTGTGCAATCTATCAGGCTTTGGCCATACTTCGCCCGTGTTGCCGGTGTTGAAAGTGTTGCCGGTGTTGAAAGTATTGAAAGTGTTGAAAGTGTTGCCAGTGTTGAAAGTGTTGAAAGTGTTGAAAGTGTTGCCGGTGTTGAAAGTGTTGAACGGAGATCATCAGTCTAGCAGTTTCATTCTTTCTCGAACGATCTCACCGGCTGGTGAATACGTTGGAAATGGAATTGGGGAATGAGAAATGAAACTGAAATGAGATGGGGAATGTTTTCGCATGCAAAAGATCCTCAAACAAACTTTTTGAAAAGTGGACGGCTTGTCTGGAATAGGAAAACGCTGCAAACCTCACTTAGGTCCTTTACTCACTAATCGCAAGCGCGGCAGGATTCGAACTAAAACACACATTACTACTCAGACTTCAGCTATTTCAAATATTGGAGATTGCCTATTCCAGACAAGCCGTCCACTTTTCAAAAAGTTTGTTTGAGGGTCTTTTGCATGCGAAAACATTCCCCATCTCATTTCAGTTTCATTTCTCATTCCCCAATTCCATTTCCAACGTATTCACCAGCCGCTGAGATCGTTCGAGAAAGAATGAAACTGCTAGACTGATGACCTCCGTTCAACACTTTCAACACCGGCAACACTTTCAACACTTTCAAAACTGGCAACACTTTCAGCACTTTCAACACCGGCAACACGGGCAAAGTATGGCCAAAGCCTCAAATCCAATTTCAGACTTAACTGTGAGATTTCTTGGCAGAAATTATCTGTTGAATTTTAAGGTCTGAACTGCATCCAGCGCAATAATTGAGCATATTTAAGTTGGCTGCTTTTTCTAAACATGAGAATCCTTTCGTTTCTGTTCCAGTTTCTTCAAACTTTCAGTACGATTTATGAAGAAACTTGAACTCAAAAAAATGTTTGGTTAGTGAAGCGATGGCTTATTCGAGAAGAGCATGATGGAAAACCCCTAAACACCAGTTTCCATCCAATCGGATGAATATCGCACCCAACCTTTAAAATGGAATTCACATTGAATTGTTTGCTTTGCTGGATAGGGGCAGAGAACTACTATGTGCACAGATAAGCTCTGCATATGATGCTAATTAGGTGCTAAATGTGTAACTAACAGCTAACGTAACCTATAGCTACGTCGCAGCAAGTCGGGTAGATAAGTTCCGTCACCCGTTAAACCCCGGCGGCGTGGCGTTATGGAGCAAAGCTACGCCGCATTCGCCTGCGGTATATCCTGAGGGTCCTTTGTGTTGTGTCGCTCTTAATTGCACCCACAGAGGAGCTAGCGTTACCCAATGGATTGAGTCATTCTCGAAATTTTTCTTTTGTAGAGAGACCAAAATGAGGAAGTTAAACGAATTTTGAGGATGAAAAAATAGATTCCGAGGAAGATGTGTCTGAGAGTACCACCCAAGGGAAAGTAAAAGCTTGGAAAATCACTAACGAAAATTTTCTGTCCCTTTTCTCTACTAATTCTCGTGTTACACTCAAAATCAATCTTTTGTTCTCATCCGAAATTCAGCCTTTGCATCCGTAAATCCATCTATTTTTAGATTTTAAATACCTTTATTCATTCATGCAGTTTGGACATCTTCTCAAGGCATAGCAATAGGGAATGGCTCAGTTCGTTGTTCAGCGGCTTACTCCTACGGCTGCTTAAAGACGACGCAACGCACTGGCCCTCAGGATATACCGCAGGGGAATGCGGCGCTGCTTTGCTCCATAACGCCTGCCCCCCTTAAACCCCATGTTGGAGCATTTTTTTAGAACCTCTCACTATAAACTGCTACGCATACAATGCCACGTTCCCGTCTCTGCTCAAATCGGGAGTGACAACACGTGTAGAGAGAGAGTGAGACAGTAAGATCAACAGCGAGACCCCGGCCACACTTCGCTTGAAAGGGCCCAAAAGCGCTCAAAAGCGCCCAAATTTCTCTATGTCTTTTCGCTTCCTCGTGTGAGAAAGAGAGAGAAAGTGAAGTGTAGGGAAAAGTGGGCGCTTTTCTGCGCTTTTGAGCGAAGTCTGGCCGGGGCCTAGATACATCGCTACTTCAGAATAGATGTCATGCCAAATACTCCAAGCACAGTTATAGCAAACCGCATTTTCGATTCATCACATGCTGACCTACGATGTACAGGGAGGATTTCGCAATCAGCATATTGAACGCACCGCGCACAATGGTGATTAACAAATCAAACATTTCGAATCCCCAATATAAACTGCTCAGAGAAGTACGAAAAAGAAGAAATTAGATACAAAAGGGGCAAAAATGTCTAGCTAAAACTGAGCAACTCGAGGACGATTCGCACACGTGAGAATTACAGGCTAGAACTTGCCACTCGTCTAACTCTTCAAGCGGTAAATCATCCAACATAAGGTAAAGCACGTGTAAAACCCTTCATCTTACTTCTGAGGAGCGTTTCTTCGAGTACCTTATCAGATTAGATGACACAAAGGGAAGAAAACCACTACAGACCAAAACCCAAAAAACACATGCAAAGACCATAAACAATGCGATGAAAGCAAGAAACAAGACAAATCTCAAATCTGTCACAACAAGACGTAGGCTGCATGAAGTTAATCGCCGTTGTGAGCCGTTATTACCACGCTTGGCAAGCCGCCTCGACGCTTTCGCGCCAGGACCAAATTTGTAAAGTGGTCTGTCTGCTACACAACTTTAGCGGAATAGCTTCCCCCGGAAGGATACATCTTTTCGGCTGTACCAAAAACATGAAAAAGCTTTTCAGACTTGCCAGACACCTTCTGCAATGTCAAGACAAGGCGTTTACTTGGCCAAACATCTAGTGCTCGGACATGTCAAATTTTACTGGTGCATGGGAAATGGCTGCTGAATTCTCAAGGTGTTTTTCTTATTGTCTTCACAATTTTGACTGTTTCATTCATTTCAGACCTTAGTATCTATCTATGGGCTTCTGCCCTATGCGGTAACATACAACGTCTGGAGCCGACTGCTTGATGTGTTTAATGCAGTCTGGCAATAACGACTGCTATAATTGCAAACATAGAGCCAGGTAGGACCAGCCACGTTTATTACAAAATACAAATTCCAGAAAGTTGGCACAACTACACCGTAATGGTTAACTAGATAAGATAGTTACAGAAGTAGCACAAGAATACGAATGCTGGACCAGCCCAGCTTACACGTTGTAGTATGGAGATGCAGCCGAAGTTTGTAGCTCCACTTGCGAAATCTTGTAACGAACTTTTTTCAACCAGTCCGAGAGAGGTGGTGGTGCCAACGAGGGCTGATTCTCGCACGAGTCGAGCTTGATCCTAAAAATTTGCTTGGGAAAAGCTCTGAGGCAGGGTTTGGGTAAGTTGAAGTTTCAAGCTTAGGTTTTTGCTAGGCTACACGGGAGCTCATGCTGATCGAAGAAGTCTTTGGTGTGATTACCTTGGGTATTCGGGAGGAACTTAAAGATGTGACAAAATTTTATGCAGTAGACTTATTCAAGATGCTGTTCAACATCATTACGTCTTACTGCCGGTAGATCGCATTTATCGTACCTTACAATCAGTTAAAGTAACAAGAACAGGTAAAACGATTTTCGTGATTATGCACCAGTTTCATTCATCACATCCTAAGATTTTGTTCTTTCCCGTATACCCACCGTAACCTTATTGGAAGAACTTTACCCTGCGGAAATAACATCTTCGTTTACAGCTTCCATGTAGATTTCGGCGAAATTTGAGGTTCTAAATTTTGGATTACCTGGAGGAGGACTAACGCCCGTTCGGAACCCTTTTTAACTTTCAAATTCTTAACTAGTAAGTCTAAAATGTAGCATGAAAGTAGCTACCTCAACTGATTGGGAATTTGACTGTGGTAAGCAGTGAGAATCGGCGCCCACATAGGGTACAGCTGACACAGAAGAGCAGAGTTCACTTGCTGTAGAGCTTGTATCGTGTTCAGGAAATGGAGATTCACCATATCAGCGAGCTGTGAAAGATTCGTAGCTAACGATAAGCATGCCATGATTCATAAAACCACTGCCAAAGTCATCAAACGTACCACTTTAGAATGGCTAAGTAGCTGGAGGATAGCGGGGGTAACTCTCGCCCAAAAATCCAGAAGATGTGGGAACGCAGTGGTTGAACTGGAACTTTTGGACTTGAGAAAATGTTTTTACAACTTGGAAGGCGGAAATTACTCGCTTTTTTACATTTTCGTGGTTTTCAAAATTATCTATTCGCTATTTACCGCAAGCTATCAAACTGCTATTGTGCATTATTTTCTCGGGACCTTCCTGTTCGGACCGTATTCTAGCAGATTCTAACAATCATAGTGTTATGGAGCTGCCGAAAATGCTTGTCCGTAGGAAAAACAGCTTCGAGCACTACTTGAAATTTTGCGCTCCAAGTTGTGCACGAAACTTATCGGTACCGCTATAGATACTAATTGCTCTGTCTGCCGATCAGCAGTTCATTTCTTTCACAAAATTACTTAAGCATTGCTGACCTGAAGACGGCTGCTCTCTCGCAATAGACGGTCCACAGTTGGCAAAGATGGAAAGCATGGAATAGTGCTGACATATGGACCACCGATTGCTGCAAATATGAATTTGTGAGAAGAAAAAAAGGACTTTTCAAAGCCAAAAAACCTTTGACTGATCAGCAAATCCAGCTAGAACAAAGTGAATGTAATCAGCCATATGTTGACTGCATTCGATCGGAACTGGAAGACAACCATGGTTGGCGTGTAGAGCCCCAAGCAGTAGCCAAGAGAGTACCCGAACATTGGTTACGGAGTCAGCGAATGCACCCGGAGCAGCCTATAAAAATATGTAGCATACTGGATTGAGGTAATTTTTTCACTGCATACCTGGGTGACACTGGGTGGGCTCATTAACCAAGGAATGAATCTAATAACTGTTCTGCAGTCGCGAGTATTCGATCGGCTCATCTCTACGGCTATTGCCTCAGCCAGCTTCACTTTCAAATCTCCACCGATGTAGTCGGAATTCGTTTCTTTCTGCAAGTAGTGATTTTTGCAAATGGCAACCGAAGGCGGCTAGGAGCACCTTCAATTTTGCCAAAACATGCAAATCAGCGATGAAATCCAGGATTTCGAAGAGGAATGGTCGAACAGCTTCAGAAGCGGCGGTGTTGAACTGATCATCCGCCAAGTTCATTTCGATGTCTAGAACGTACAGTTATTGTCATTCTCTAGCTATACCATAACTAACCCTCGCCAGCATCTTGGAGTATCAGATTGGCAATCGTCATAAAGTTCGCTTCGTGCATTGGGCACTTGAATTTGATTGCTTGGATTAGCTCAGCTACCACAGCACGTGAAATGCTCTGCTTATCTCTCTCCTGCAAGAATGGCAATCATTGAAGTTCGAAAGAAACCTTCCCAAGTTCTAACGCACTCTGATCATGGCTCGATTGCAAGCGGTGCATACTGTAAGAAGACTCTCCAGCTTGACTGGGCAGTTATGGAGAGCCTCAGCTAACCATTTGCAGAATGAGTCTACCAGTGACACAGCAGACTGGAAAACATTCTGGTAATTCGTCCATTTTGACCCAGGCGATATATCAGGAAAACACACAGGATGGGAATTTAAAACTTTTTTTCCGACTAGTAAGAGTAAGAGACCACAAAAGACATAGTTGGAAGGTTAGTCTTATTGAAATTTGCTACGTTAACGTCTCAGAGATCCGATTTTAGTTAGGAAGGGTGAGACTTCACCTTGAATGCGCTGAAGTTCTGCACTTTCAGCACATGACTCATGACTATGATTCCGCTCTCCACTTCGGACTTCGTCGGCTTTGGTGCACCCTCAGCTGAGATCTTAAATATGAAAAATTGGTAGAAAGTGTTCAGAAGAACTTTCATGAGATGATCGCAGCGCTAAAGATGATTATTGGGCATAGTTTCAGCTTGCGACATCAAAGTCACTCCGTAGGTAGATCATTTCCCAGTGCTTACCTGGGTATGATATCTCCTAAAGAAGGTTTCCATGTGAGTGACAGTTGTGCTCCAATGGGTGATGTAAGCATCGCATGGAACTTCGACAACATATGCAGCTAAGTTCCTCATAGTAGTTGTAAGCTGGGGTAGCCAATTCTCAGCGAGATCCTGACAACATTTAGTTCAAAGGTGGGAAAAAAAGCATAAATATCAAGGACCTCGAATAACAGTTGGATGAAGTAGACTGGAGAGAGCTCCTGGAAGTCTGCCAGCGAGAGTGATACTACTTTCCAGAAAGCATCTTTTCGAGACAACGGGGTGTCAAAGAGCTGCAGACATATGCCGGAGGAGGAGAGCTAAAAATTTACATTGCCCAAGTGGTAACAGACAGTTTGCGGAGAACTACCTGGTGCAAGGTAACTCTCAACATCTGTTTTGCTACACTGCGACAATTTCCTGGCACAAACATTTCGGTGTCGTGCCACGGATATATGGGATGGTCAATCAACCTGAAACGAAGTATAACAGAAAGTAGGATGAAGAATACTCACTTACTTACCGAGTTACAGTATGCAAAAGAGAGAAAAGAATGGGTGCAGCCATGACCGGTTCACGATGTAAGAACGTCTCAGCGGCAATAAGGCAAAGAGAAATTGTTTCTTCATCAAACGATGTCAAACATTCGTTGCAGTGATCGCAGCGCAGTTCGACCCTGCAGAAATTTTCGGAAATTCCTGGAAAGTGCCTTGGGAACATCACATGGCTAATTCTCACGGAGCGCTGGACTTTCGTTGTTTGCGTGGTTCCTTACGTCTGACAGCCTCACTGCGTTTGCGCATGGGGCGTGGCTCAACAATTGTTGGGTGAAGTGTCATCTCTCCTTCATTCTCCTAGATTACGGTAGTTCTATTACTAGGACGCAGTCAGCACGCAGATGTTCCTCATTAATACCTGAATCGTGGTGACAGTAAGACTTTCTGGTCTGATTAGGCCCCTAGGCGATTCGTCAGATTCCTCATCACTGATATCTTCCCAAGTAGCTATATCAGTCGGTTGATCTGTTTCACAGCAGACATGGGCTTGCGCTTGAAAAAAAAGTATTTTTACATATATGAACATACTGAAAATCTAAAGCGAAACCTTGCAATGTTTTCGTAACAATGTTGATTAAACGCATAACACCATCGTTGATTGGAGCTTGGTCAAATCGATACTGCAACGACTGATAATAGTTTCAAGAAGGAACGGTACAACAGAATGGAAAAAAATGCTTTGTTTTTCACTCACCTTGTACAGTATTAGAATCAGCGAGTTTAGCCATAGATGACGAGAGTGTTGTGAGAGCAGCTTGAGCGAATAGTTGCTTTGGTGCTGATCACTTGCCAATTTCTGAGGTGAGGGCAAATGGAGAAGAAGCTGGACCACGGTAGGAAGAAGTTGATTTCCTGCAGAAAACTGGCGTCATCATAATAGACAAGAGGGTTGCTAAAAGGGAGAGGAGGGTATGTGAATTCTTTGAACGTGGACTACCTGAGTTATACAGCAGTTGTACAACTGACTTGGTCCTACTTGTGAACAGCTAGAACAATTCTTAAAACTTTTGGAAAGTGAACTATCAGGTTGTCCCCAAGTTTTCTCATATATAATCGGAATCTTTGTTAATTCGGCTTGAAACTTGATGCCGATTAAGCTTGGTGGGAATTTCTGAATACCATCTTGTAAAGCTTGCTTTGATCAGTCGAGTGGTATCCCGCGCTATGCGCTCGCAAGAAATGGAATACACTCACCTATGCAAAGATTGCAGTCCAAAATCTCGGGTAAACCACTTAGGAACGCGTTGCTGACAACCGATTTCCTGAAAATTTTGTTGTAAAGATTTTTTTCAAGACAAAATAATTGATTCTTTGCCCTTTTAGCATGTTAAGAAATATGTGGAGCAAGTCAGCCAATTGACAGAATAAATTCACCTCAATCTTGCTGGCGGAATAGTGAAGCATTTTTCTGTATTACTGTAGCCGAGTAGAGTGTTAAAATGGCGGAATAGCAGTGACTGCTTTTTCGCGTTTGCCTTCTCGTCCGTGGGTGTAGAGTTCTTATTGCTGCAGACAGTTATACGAAAGCTCCGCTTACAAAGGCGAATATTTCCTACCTTAAGAAGGAAACAAATAAGGAGATCACAAGGTAAACTGTGTGCCTCTCTGGGTTCTCCATGTCGACGACCCGATTAAATAGTAAGCAGAGGTTACTCTCTTCATCCGTAAATTCTCGCAGTCGACCATATGGGCCTTCAAAGTGGTGAAGATTGATGTGAATGAAAGAAACATAATTTTGTGTTTGCTTTTCACTTCGACAATTTACATCCAATTTTTAGAAATTCATGATTGAAAAGATACGAGTTTAGCCAGCTTGAGCCTTAAAGGCAGCGTCCGGGCACATACGAAAATGAAGAGTGCAGGGGCGCTGATAAGACTCTTGCCCAACTGGCAATGCACCAATTTGTTTCTGAAGCGAGAAATACTCTTCAGAAGTGGCGACCGGAACGCCCCGGCGACCCGGACGAGTTAGCTATAAGCCAGAGTGCGCATACCGCACATAGTCAAGACGTAGGGTCCCACAAAGACTCTGCATCTTAACCTTGGCGGCAGGCGACACATTTCAAATCATGAGCTTCTGAAAAGCCCGTTTTCGGCGTTTTCATGCCCTCCAGGCTGCATTTTCAGAATCAGCGGGAGGAATAAGCCCAGGTAAGCGAAAAAAATTCCATTCAAAATTTTGCCCGGACGCTGCCTCCAAGCTAAACCTGACTACCAAACTTCTTGCAAGCAAAATGATATTATTTTAACCAACTCCCTATACAAGAAAAAGCGCGCGTTTCGAATTGTGATTGTCTAACTGTAGTTGTCAACTATTTTCGACTCACCCATGCCCTGCCTTGGAAGTGAGGGTTGAGTGTTCCAAGTGGCAATGATTCTCAACCAAGAATTTTTCCGTCACACAACAACATTTCGCGAGACCTTTTTTGTATGAAAAATAAATTCCATCACATTCAATCTGTAGTCCGCCCTTTGCAATAGAAACATATTTGCAACTTTCTTCGCACCCTTGCGACCTTGTCTTCAAGAAAGATCTACGGAACACAAACTCGGAAAAATCCGGAGCGAGGACGTTGCTAAAGTAGAGCAACTTAGATTAAAGGCGGTTGATTTCCTGTAAGCCAAAAATGAGTCTGAGGGGCGATAATCATGCTGCAAACTTTTGATTATTGTAACGGAGTTTTTCTTTTAGGGAAAAGGCTAACTATGTTGATGTACTAGAGCAAAACTTAAATTGTTGCTGACAGTGCATGCTGAAAAACACCATTTACAGTCGAGTAGATTTGCCATTAGATGTAGTGGAGCTCCGCGGAGCCTATAATTTGCGGTAAAATTTGCGCTTGAACGAATAGCTGCGACTATAATGCCGGCATTTTGAACAAATTCGGCATTACAGGCGTAGCTATTATTTGTTCACGCGCAAAGTTCCCCACAAAATCTCGGCACTGTACTATATTGACGGACAAGTTTACTGACTGCAAATCTTAATTTGGTGGTCAGATCTTGCAAAGTAGAGTGATAACGAAAGTTATGAGATAGAAAGGCCAAACCATCGTTTTCTCAATTGAAATTTTCTGTCCGCCAAAGTGGAGTGAAACAGGGCTCGGCCGAGGTGGCTTACAAGCAAGCCGGGTATCGTTTTTGGGAAGAAAAGCAAAAGGGGTTTCGTTTTTGTGACCGAAGAGACACGCAAAATTGGCGATTTGGCGACGTTTTTTTTCAGTCGACGGTTCGTTTTTTGGGGGATTTTTTTAGGTTTTTAGAGGAAATGTGGTTGAGGGTCAAAGGGGACTTCGTAAAAATTCTCAAAAATCATGGGGGACTTCGTTTTTTGCATTTTCATCTAGCCACCTCGTGCCGAGCCCTGGAGTGAAATGGAAAATAGTTGGCTTTCATGCAACATTCCTGTGCATTCTCTGTGTTCTGCTGTAGAATTCTGTGAAATGAGATTATTGTTTAAGTTATTGTACCTATGGAGTTCTGTTTATCGTCGAATCAGCTACATAAATGGCCGTCCCAAAACTTTCTGTCCGGGGCGAAAACGAGCGGAGAGGGAGGGAGAGGAAAACAAAGTTTGCTTAGTGAGAGGTAATTGCATGCCATCCCCTCCAAAAGTTTTTTAGATGCTCATTTTCTCCAAGTTTGTACTGAATTTTAGAAAAAGAATTATTAAGAAGCTAATCTAAATTTTCATAGAATCCATATAGTTACTAGATTTAAGTGATCAACATCCCTTACATAAGGCTCATGTAGAACTCTTCTAGAAAATCCCCCTCCCTCCCGTCTCCATTCCCTTTCCTTGTTCGCAACTGTTGAGACACGCGTTGCTTTGGATTATTTATATGTTCAAAGAGATGCAGGCACTAGTTACAAATCATTCAAGAAAAGCGCGATAGGTACAGGACCACGGTAGTCATTTATAGCAGAAAAAGGAAATGAAAACTGAAGAAGTGTGAAAAAGCGATACCGTACCGGCAGAGTAGGTCGGCGAAGTGACGGAAGGGGACAGCGTACCCGGATCTGCTGCAAGCAAAGAATCAGAAGCTTAAAAATACTGGGACCATCGCTGCTGAGCGGCGAGAAGACGGGTGCGTAGAGCACCTCGAGGCGGCTGCACAGCAACGATGATCGAGTAGTCGATAGAACATTCAAAGTAAAAACCACATGACAAAGGTTGGAACATATTGAGTGAAAAGCTAAGAGTGGAGAAGCTGCGTAGGTGTACAAATGGGAAAGCATGCTGTGAGTGAAGCAAACGTGCAGGTGGAGTGCAGTCAAAGAATGGCCAGGTGCAGCTCAGAATTGCGCGCCTGGATGCTGCGCGACTGCTTCAGAGATTTTTCGCGAAAACTTGACTGCTACCAGCTGCGTTCATAGTTACGTGTGTGCCAGCATGGTGCCGGCACAGGGCGCCGCGAAATATTTTCGCGCGGCGACGCGAAAATATTTCGCGGCGCGCGAACAGTGCCGGCCCACAGGCAAGTATGAGCAGTTGCGGAAGTGGAAAAACTGACACCTCGCCATTCTCGTATGAAGGTACATGCTCTTGGCTTCCAATGACATACGATGTGGCGCGGCAGCGGCAATGAGCGAGACAAGCGAAGCGGCGCCAACGGTGATGTTGGCGGCCATCTGGCGCCAACGGTTCACCACCTTCACCATCGTGACGACGCGCAGGATCTTCAGACGGCACGAGAGCGCCGCCTCGGACAGTCGACCGCGCCTCCTCCATCGCGGCACTCGCGACACGCTCAAAACTGCGCGAAGAGATAACCTTAGTTCAAAGTCATCTATGTCTACACACTACGACATCAATAATGGCCCAAAGGCCATTAGGTAGCAAACTAGAACCAGGTAAACTAAAAACAGAATCGAGTCAGTTGTTAATGAAAGAAAGTTCTAAACCCAACAGCTAAACGGTTTTGTAGCTAAACATTCTCTTCGTCTTTAAGAGTTACTTTCTAGTCATGCGTATGAGAGACAAGCGAACTGAATTCTGTGGACTGTTTTGGAGTCTAAATCATGAACCGATCAAGATAACACATAAAAGCAATGACAACAGAACTTTTGACGGTAGCGATTGGACTGGAGGACGAGCGGATGTAAATATTTTCGTTTCAATGACGTACCTGGCGGATCTGTTGGTTGATAAGAAAGTTGATGTTTGAGCGCTTTGTATTCGCGCAGATATTTCACGATTGACTTTGCTGTAGCGGCCTCTTCGATGGCCTAAAAATCTACCATCAAACATTTTTGATCTCGCAAATTTGGGCGATTCTGTCCTGTCCACTAGACCCGTAGTAAATCCCGGTTAAGCCGTAAAGTCACTGGGATATCATATCTGACCCAACCCGACGTAACGTCGTGTAGTCGCGCCCGCCTCTACCGGGAGCGATTTTGGTGTTCGTCACGAACCGAAAAAATAATGCTTTTTAAGTTACTAACACACATGAGCTGAGAAATGTGCAAAATGACTTTCTATATTCGTAAATTGAAATAATTTTTCTTAAATTCAGTTTAGCCTTACAAAATTCGGTACTTTTCCGTTATCCAGACCTATCTCTTCAAAAAAGGATATTGCTTCTTTTCTCGTACCATATTTGATCCCAACTTCACAGAAAAGAGTCAACCTTTCCTGCCACGCGTCAAAAAAATTTGACCTGACATGCATGTGTTGACAGGTTTAACCAAGAGTCGAGTTGCCTTAAAGGCACCTGAAGGCGACAAAAACATCGAGTTCGATATTTTGGGTGGACGGTGCCTTTAAAGGCAGCGTCCAGGCAAATCTGGGCATACGGGGTTCGGATGTGGAAAGTAATTTTGGGGCCCTAACTAAGGCATTGCCCAAGCGGCAGCTCAAATGGTGAGCTCGCGGTTGAGATATTCGCCTCCAAACTGGACCCCGGGATCTATTCGCATGGATTCATGGCGCGACACAGCAGTTTCGCGCGAGGAACTACGCGTGTCGCGCCATGAATCCATGCGAGTACGATCCCGGGGTCCAGTTTGGAGGCGAATATCTCAACTGTGAGCTCACCATTTGAGCTGCCGCTTGGGCAGTGTCTTAGTTAGGGCCCCAAAATTGCATTCCACATTAGAGCCCCGTATGTCCAGATTTGCCTGGACGCTGCCTTTAACTAACGACATAAGTTCAATCTGTTTTTAGTCAATAGTGGCCCCATTTTGAATTGAAGAGTACCAAAAATGAACATTATTATCATAATAAGTCATTCTTTCATTAGTAAACAGATTAAACTTGCCCAACAAAAAAGTGGGCTAGGATCCCATCATCTTAGTGACAAAACACAGTAGCGAGGAATTTCAAGGCATCATACATGTCTCTTGTGGCTAAATTCGCAAGGCGAAAAGTTTGAAGAGAAAGACAATGCTGAATCATTGCTGAAAACGATGGATATTTTAATATAAGTTCTATTAGGTCATTCGGAAAGTTTTTTTGTTTTCGCACCTTCAAATTCAAACGAAAACAATTTTTTCCAGATTCAATCTTTTTCCATCAAATAAACTGCATTGTTTCAGCAAATTTCTGTCACCACTCTTGTAGTCCTCCTGTACTTTTTTTGCGAAATATTCACAGAGGAATCAATAAAGCCTTAAAAGGCGTTTTTGACTAGCTAATATTTATTAGGTCCTATTATTTTTTGACAGGCACCGAGGAATAAGAAAATTTGGAGATTGGTAAAGGAAGGTCTAAAAAGTTTGAAAATAGAACAGGAACGTTGGTACGCAGTTAACCTCTTTTGTGAAAGCCACTTTTCTTATATGTGGTTTGGCGAAGTCATTGGCGTGGATGGCATCTCTCATAGCTTATACGTGCAAGTCTGCTCAGTTTTGAAATTTTGACAAACGGTCTTCAGAACGATATCATACTACTCTGCACTTACAGTACAAGCGCATCTTAGCAAGATTATAGCCTACAAGACCAGCAGGATTACATTAATTTGAGCACATCACCCTTCTGCAATGACCGATTGTTCTGGCCATGCTTTTAATGCTTATTCCAAATGATTTACCACAATGTCGCTTCTTGTAGCCGCACTTGGCCAATTTTTTGCTTTAACCAATAACGCAGGCCAAAAAAGGATTTCTCCACAAATTATGAGCAACGAAAGCAGAGTCAACGCGCCCTCAATCTGCGAGTGCTACAATTTGTGGGGTACATGTCACTAAAATTTTTCGGTATTGCAACTTTAGCGAAGGTGGCTTCTATTGGAGTTGTATGACATTTCAAGGCCTGCTGATAATTTTATGCAGCTCTATTTGCGATTTGCTTCAAAGGAGCCTCTAAGATGCTCGTTTATATGGCAGGAACACTTTCCAGGACACTGCAAAATATTAGCTTTCACTTCTCGAGATCTGAACTTTTGAAGTAAACTTAAACCTACCTCAAGAAAAATGTGATCTTGGCGAATGCATTGCGCACAATGATGGTTTCCTCAACGGCTTACACTTGAGTTTAAGCTTAGAGAATACAATTACTCGAAAATCGCGTTTTCGTATGTCGAATTTAGAGCAGCGTAAACTTCCCTACAAAGCGTTTTTCGCAACTTCGGTGGGATACTCAGAAACTAGAAGGCTTTCTCTACAGATCCATATATAGCAACCCCTATCAGCCCTTTGGCACCCTCTCAAAATATGGTGCCAACATCAAAGGCGCAAAAAACGAAAAAACTTTCCGAATGACCTAATAGATTGTTTTGTTCTTTTAGAAAACAATCAAACAGCTTTTAAGCAATCACAAATGCTCGTTTACCTCACCGGTAATGATTTCGAAAGAAACATGTCAAAATTGACCAGAACGTGTCAATATTTTTCTGACACGTGGCAGAGAGGCAGTCCTCGCGAAATTTATTGAAAATTGCTTAGACTAAAGAACGTATTTCATGGTAGCCTTTTGAAGAAATAGGACCGGATAACGGAAAGTGCCCAAAATTCTTTTCCATGGGAGCGGGGTGGTGCCTGCCTCCAGCCGATTTTTGAACTTCGGGGTTATGGGCCCGCGATTTTGGGAATCATAAAAAATTTTTCACACTCTTCCCCCCTCTCCCCCCCCCCCCCAGCCGCTCCTCCCGAACGGATATATTGGGTACACCATTGATATTAGCCTTAATGCGTTGCAATAATTGATATCAGCAGGAGATAGGCGCAAACGGCAGATCGCTGAGCAACAGTTTATCGCTGCGATTTTGGCAAGGTGAATCTTTACATTACGAAGCATTCTGAATGTGATTCAACAAACTTTCATTGCTTTTGAACTGTTTTTATTTTGGCTTTGCAACTCATAGGTTAAGAACTTTCTGCGGGCCTTCATTTCGTTCATTCTCACAATTTATGCAATTTTTGATGTAACTTTCATTTTGCCCTTCACTGGTTGTTCGTTTTCCTTCCATATTGAGAAAATTGTTCGACCTGTGGGTAATGGAGCAGCATATATTTAACAGTTTAATCAATTTACAACATTTTATTATTTCTTCAACACATTTTTGATGATTTATCTCATGCAAGTTATCCTCTCTCTCTAAAGCTCACTAAGCAATGTTCTTTGGAATACAAACTTGACGAGCGTATGCTTTCCCTAACACTTTGCAAAAGTACTGTTTCACTTGAGACTCGTACCTCTGACGTGTAGCTTGGTAGCGCTACGCTAACTTCAGCGCGATCGACCGTAAGTGCTTCTTCATATCGGACATTGAAGGAACTATATTCGATTACATTGCCCCAAGTACAGATTCACATTCAAAACTCATGGGCAAGCCTCTCCGGGAGCAGGGCTGCTTGTCTGTTTCCTCATATTGACTTGGCGAACTGCGCTAAGTGGCTGCTACCCCATATTGATGCTAGCCACAGAAAGTAACCAATATGGTGTAGCACCAGTGCGGGCTGTTCACATCAGCGTGGATCCGACAGCGGGTACAGCAATTTTTGTGGCGCTACGCTGATGCAAGTTTGTTCCCGGTGTATGACTTTCTGACCGGTCACGACGTCTTTATTTATTACCACTTAAAGAGAATTACTACGGGACTGGTGACAGCAAATGTTATGAGCTTTCAACGCACCTTTCTGGCCTTGTTGACTTTCCTCTGGTAAATCTCGCTCATTGGATCCGTATGCATCAAGTCTAAACCAATTCCTCCATTGTCATGAGACACAGTAAGAAAGTTTTGATTCCAACCTTGCACAAAAACAGTTTCTTCGCTTTGATTGCTGAGTTGGCTTTCCAAAACAAGAGTTTCGAATCGCTGGAACCATGTACTTTCGCAACTGCAGTATTCGTAACTTCTGATAAACGGACCTGTATGAAAAAGTCGAACGTCAACATGGTCTCATCAGGCATTTGTGTAGTCAGCACTCGGATGGCGTTGATGATTAGTGGACGATCCAGTATGCACGAATCGAACTGCGATTCGAAACAGAAACACATCATCTGCAAAGCTAAAATTATGTTCGCCGACTTTGACTCACAGAGTAATAGTCAGACAAATTTGGGTACGTGGTTTATATCGAAGCCTATGGGAGGCTTAAACAAAGCATTGCCTCAAAGCGAGCTTATGGAACTCGATCGTGGTCGAGAGAATCGTCTCTGAACTCTCGCTCATTATAGTTTCCTGGACACCAGTCATCGTTCACGAGTACGGTACCAAGCGAGAATGCAGAGACTGCAAAACGAGTCAACCGTCTAGGCTAACGCTTGGGCAATTGCTTAGTTGGAGCTTCAGTCAGTGATCACATAGGAAGTCCAAATACTCAGACTATCAGGCACTCTCAAACCCAACGGACCTTGAGTGTCTGTGTTGGCAATGCCCTCAGAGCGATTATAGCTCTCTGAGCTACTGTAGGGTTCGGATCATGTAGAGATGTAACAAAATGGTAGAAAAGGGCTGAGAGAGCAGTTTGAACGACCTGCAAAAAAGAAATTATCAAACCAAGAAAAAAGATGTCAAGCTGGTATCCTACCTTGTTACTTTTTACTGGTGCCCATTTGATCACATGCGCCATCACGTACGCTTTCCCCACTTGAAAAAAAAACCACTTTTTGCATACAAGAGTCAATCTCCTTACCTGAATCAAAGCGAACTTTCCAATCCGGATTGGCGAAATCTTTATTGATAACACGCCAAAATGCCTCTTCTCCAGAAGGAAATGAAATGCAGTGAAGAAGGAGAAGAGAAGCCAGCTCTCCGACCTAAAATTAGAAATTCTGTTTTTATAACTTTAACAAGAAAACTGATTGCTGTTACTTGGACAAAATCTGATCGAAGCCTGGCCCACAGTTTGGGAACCATCTTGCTTTCCTGAAGAATTATTTAAGAGCGAACAATCTTGTGTTTCCAAGGAGAATACCTGAATCCAAATCAGGAATCCGCGATGTTCCCTTCTAGCATTGCTCAGAGATCCACAATGTAGACAAAGGAGTTTCAGAGTATGCATAATGAAGTTTTCCACATCCGGATCTTCAGCAATCTCCAGGTTCTGTAAGAAAACAGTGGCAGTTGGTAAATAAACCAAGTGCACGCGCTTACTTCCAGAAGTGAATGTATCATCTTCAGTTGTGAAGGAAGCTGGTCGATCGAAAAGCGGAATTTTCCCACGGACGTTTGGTAGAAGTCATCAGCGGGAACCTTTGGCGCTTGCGGTGTGGAGGGTGAAGCAGTTGGGCCCTGCATGGATAGTTTAAGAAGGAAGTGGGGAAACATCGCCATATTGAAAACTAAGAAATGCTTTTGCGCAGGAATCATAGTTACTAGAATATTCTAGATGCTTACCTTAATCCCGTCGACTAAGGTGTTTGTAACCACTTGGCACGTTTCTCGGCCTACATCCGTTTCTGTTAGTGTTGTAGCCTCGGCCATGGCCACCTCGAACTGGAAACAAAAATGTGTTTGTTGAAGTTCAAAACTAAGCTGATATTCAAGCGCTTGAAAACACAATCCCCGATGTCTCACAGTTGTTATAATAAGAATCTCGATTAACCTCTTCGCTTGGCAGAATGCCAACAAACTCATCATCTCCAGTGTGCTCTTCAGTGGCCGTTTGGAAGCGAAGACCGTCCTCAGAAAACAATGGCGGAGCTGTTGAAGTTGCTGGAGAGACTGAAAGAGGGCAGCATCAAGTATAGCTACGGCTATAATTTCAAATGTAATATCCATAGAAGTAAAAAAAAATCAAGAATTATGTAGTAAACTTTACTCCAAGCGACTGACCTCCTTTACTGCTGCCAGGCGCGGTTTGTGGGGAGAGGGCAGCACTGGGGTGGGAAGTACCTGATGATGTCACGTCATAACTTTCGACAAAATCGTCCTGTAAAGACCACTTTATATGTGTAAATAGGCACGAGTTTTTCTCACTTCAGTAGCCTGAATAGCCATTTCCTGTTTGGGCGAGACATTTTCGGTCATGTTCATGACCATCTGGTGTAGAAAAGCTGCCTGCTGGCAAGCCGAACAGTCTGCGAAGCCATCGAGTTCGGGATTTTTGCATTCGTGCGGAGTCGTACGAAGAGGGACGCTGAGCAGTAGCGAAACACACTCGAAGAGCTTCTCCGTCAGCGATGATTGTTCGTGAACAGCGATTTCGTTGAGACGGAGCTGGAAGCAGGCGCCTGACGAGAGCTGAGTTGTCTAGAGTTGCGATATTTACCTGAAGCACCAGTATGTCAATGATGACAATGTGTATGGAGACGTCGTCCTCTTCCAAGTCATTCTGCCCCAGCTGTGGAATTTCCATTGCCGGAAGCCCTTTCAAAGCTGTGCCGAAGTTCTCTAATAGTAAATCAAGTGGAATGGAGATTTCCAGACGTGAGAGCAGCTAAAATATGGATAGAAACTGATTTCGTAACTTTTTTGTACAATATGCTATAGCTTACATGCAGCCATTGCAGCGCGTTGAACAGCTCGACGTAGTCATTTCCTCCTAGACGGCGACTAATGAAGTCAAAAACCTAGATTGTACAGCTCAAACCTCTCTTATACCTTATCTGTTATTCAAGGAATCCAATATTTAGTGATTTTATTCTCTGCGATAGTATATATCATTGCAGTTCTCTACGAGTCATGCCATTTATGGTTGTGAATCATGTGCTTAGTTACAGTAGACTTCTTTATTATCATATCTAATGACAGATGAGTTACGATGGGCAATTGATGTTATTTTTCAAGAGCTTCCCACATCACGTCCCATAATTCATACTCATAAACAGTATAAAGCTTTTGCTTTGGAAGATAGGAGCGCCTTTCCCTTTTCAAGTACCTCTAGGACTGGAGAAAAATATGCCTGCAAGATGATGCAGAGGGTTTGAGTGATACATATTCTGCCTGACGTATCGTTGCGGCCAATGTTGAGGAAATTAAATATCTATAGCAGTGACGTAACGAATGGGCACCCCCGCCCTCCTCCTCCTCCCCCCCCCCCCTCCCGAGAATGGGTGCACATGAGTTGTATAAATGTGGTGACTTGTTCGCACTTCTAATAATTATATTAGGTTGTCCCAAAAGTAAACTCCATTTTCAAATAACTTGAGCTGTTTTTGTTTTTTTGACAGATTTAGGATACCATTCGGTAGAGCGCAGCAAGCTCTACAAAAAGACTACCAAAGTTCCATCTGATACGTAACCTAGGTAAATTTTGGAGCCAAAAATCAAAATTTTTCAGCTACTCTAAAAATCGGATCTCCTTCCAGAGAATTCCTACGGACTTCCAACTTGGTCTCTATATAGTAGAATAGTAGTACCCAAAAAATGTATTTGTTGGTGCATTTTTTCCGAAGCTCAAAATTGAGAAATAAGTAGGGTCCCAAAAGGCAAAAAGGTCTTTTTCGGGTTTTTTATGTAAAACTTGGTATTTCTCGGTTATAAGAGCACATACAGAGGTAAGATTTTGAAATTATACTTAGTAAGGCTTATAGTATACAATGACATATGTGGGAGGGGCTGGGGGCGGAGTTTGCCTTTGGACAATTTTTGTTTCTCGCTTTGTATGCTCGGAAAAAAATTCGGTAAAGGCATATTTGTGTACGACTATTGTATAATGACCAAGTTGGAGGTCTGTAGGATTCTTTGTCGCAGAAATCCAATTTTTAGGTGACAAAATTTTTTTCGATTTCGATCAAACTTTATATAGAAGACGAATTAGGCGGACCCTTGGAGGTCATTTTGTAGAGCTTGATCTGCTCTATCGAATGATACCCTAAATGTACTAGGAAAACAAAAACAGCTTGAGTTATTCAAAAAAGGAGTTTACTTTTGGGACAACCTAATAATAATTTTTGGAATTCTTGAAAAATTCAATGTAGCCTTAACAAAATTTTCTTCTGGAGGAAGTGGCTGCCGCCACCCCTTTTCTTCTGAAATCTTGGCGTCATGGGCCCGCAAAAAATTTTCGGAAGCATCCCAAAGATTTTTCGGAATGCGTGGTCAACGCCACGCATTATTATCCAGAAAACGGAAATTCTGGATACACCGTTGGCCTATAGCTAGGTAGTGTAAAGATATCTTATGATAACAAGACATGCCCATTACATATTAGAGAACAAATACTGCAGCAGCCTGTAGTTTTTTCTACTAGATCAAGAAAAATACATGTATGCTGTTGTACAAATAAAGAAATTTTTTAGAGTAAACAAAAAATCTTACCATCACAGTCTCAAACGGTAGTGGGCACAAATCTGGCTCGAAAATCTTGCAAAGCAGGATTTTCAGGTCGAGTTGTTGCTCTTCGTTGCATTTCGCGTAGATGAGCTGAAAGACAAGCTGTAAATTTAGAGAGAACAATCTCATTGTAACGAGCAGCAAAGGTGAAGAAGTTTGCAATTGTCAGTTGGGAGCGAAAATTTTCGACTGCTCGAGCAAGATTAGCTTGAGATAAAAAATGAAAAAAGTTGAAGAGAAAGAGTTGGAGATTTTTCGGATATAGACCTTGATGTTTTGCGCGTTCAAATTTGGCACTGAATCGGCATGAAGATGCTATCGTAGGTGTGTAAAGAAAGGCCCGGCTCATCCGTTGCTCATTTTTCTCACATTATCTGCAGACTTCAATCTCAAACAGTGCCTCAGAAAATCCCCTACTGTTGCTATCCACAAGGTATCTTTGTGAAGAGTTGGCTTCAATTTGAATTTATGGTACAAAACGAATCGCCTATCACCCTGCATTATTGTGGGATTACCGTAGGAATTTTGAGCATACAGCGCCATTGTTATACATGCCATATGGGAAAGAATCCCAAAAAAATCTAGAGCATGCTGATCACACTATAAACCCCGGGAAATTTTCAAGCTTCTCAAATACTGCAATCGCTTTTTTTTAAAGATATTCTGAAATGCAATTTTTTTGGTGCAAGGTAATCCGTATATTAGGTATTAAGGTGAAGTACAAATTTTATATAAGGTCAGCGACTCTAGTAAGTTTATGTGAGAGTCTTTAGCTTATTCGTCTCGTCAATGCCAGATTGTGGCCTTCAATAGCTGGAAACTTTTGAGGAGAAAAAAGTTGAAGCGAGTTGTTGAAGATCAATGTGGCACTTTTTTGGGATAATCTGCGTAAGGCAAGGGACATACCTCACGCGATTTCAGTCGCCACGCGATCTGGCAATTTGCCAGATGTCTTCTCAATACTGGTAGACCCCAAATGCACAGCATGTATAACTTTCGTAGGTTGATAAAATGCCCCATCTTCCATACATTCAGTAACCCCGTACGATGAGTAATGAACATTTGGAGTATTGCCAAATCGCGTCGCGACTGAAATCGCGTGAGGTATGCCCGAGGCCTAACGATTCTGACGAACAGAAAAAAATCTTTGGTTGAATATTTGATTGATTAGGGTGGAAACGAGAAGATTTCCGCTTATTCATGGATGAGAATATATGTGACTGATAATTTTTGCAAAAAAATCGTTATGATCTCCAGCAGTGTAGGATCTGCGTACATGTTCGACATATATTGTTTCAGCGGAAGCATGAGTATTTGAAAGAAGGTATGGGCTGAGATTTTCATGAAGCAAAGGATCAGAGATACTACAAAAATGTAGTCGATTTAAGAGGAAGACTGAGTAGCTTAGGATCCACTTTTTTAGTCCCCCAGATCTTCTAAATGACTAACCATTGCTCCTAGCTATCCATCTAGCTTCTCTCTACAGGATGCTTCAAATGCAAAATGAGCTGGCTATAACAGCCTAGCTCTGCATGTCGAAAAATGTCTATATATTCACCTGCAGCCATTCAGACATCACTCGGCTCCACGTTTCCAGTGAAATGACATCATACGGCATTAGAGCAAGCAGCCTGTAGTGACCTTTTCCTTTCCCTCTTCTTCGAAAAGCACTTAATCACCTTCCAAGCCCCTCCTTGCACTGCTCGAACCATCTTCCCTCTTGTTCAGGATCTGGTATGAGCGCTGAGATGAAAACATCGTAATGGATTCTTATGGCCATGTTAATCCAGTCGCAGACGAACTGAAAAAGAGATCCTTTAGAGGGCAGCACGCAAGCACCAGTTGCCGGAAACTGACATCAGTCTTCAGTTGCTCTAAACTTGCACCCATGCTGTCATTCGGTAGCAAAGCTGTGGTGGCGAACCATTCAAATACGTTGTACATTATGTAGGAGATGCCTTGCTAAATGGAAGGAGCAATCGGGTGGCTGCATGGCTACGGTAGGGTTACGGTGGATGAACTAACCAAATCTGCGTTTTGATTTGGAGGGCAGAGAGCTGCCATCATCCACACTCCAAATCTGCTCAGCATTCTGCGTTCGTCAGCCATAGTGTCGATTTCTTTGCCAAGTGAATGACCACCTTCCAGTTGACGAAGCCATTTAGGTCGTTTTCCCTCTCCTTCTGTCCCTAAAAATATTTTGCTTCAAAAATATAGCTTCAGCACTACAAAATAATAACTACCTTCAAATTGAGCGGTTTCCCTCAGCAATTTCACTATTGCTTCCACGGTCACCCACATTACATGCTGTCCCCAAACACATCCCGATCCCTTGTGCACTAAGTGTGGAGTTTCGGAATTTGCATGCAGCGCGTTGAAGCATTCCTAGAAATTCCACTTGCACTTCTTTTACTCACGGAAGTCTTTGCGAGACAACTTCAGAAAGAAACGACGATGAGCCCTCCTTCATGCAATAATAATCATCCCAGGAGCTATGAGCAGTGACGAACGGGTCAACAAACACAAAAACAATATGCATGTGTTCTCAGGCATAAAAAGTAGCATTTTTGAAAGTGGAGAATTATTCCCTTTGAAATTATTTTTTCTATGGTTAAGATCTTAAGCACCTGGCATAGTCGCATTGGAACGAAGTTGTGTGCCCTTGTGCAATCATGCGAGAAGCATATGGCCATAGCCAAACGCGACTGTGATTGGCAATCCTAGAAAAATAAAAATCTTGTGGGGTCATTCAGTTTACGTATATCTCTAAAATGTACTTTATTCTGGCAGGTCACACTGCTCGCTTGCATTGGTTGTGTGAGATTTTTCATAGGTGCCTTACGCTCGGCGATGACATTGTCGGCACATTTTCGACAAAGAAACACCGGTGGCGAAGTATCAGCTACGTCGGCACAAATTACTGGATCGTAGCATGACTTCACACTGAAATGTTTCTTTATTCAACTATTCCAGCCAGCGTTATGCTTACGCATTGTAAGAAAAAATCTTCAAACATCAGGCAATACCGAATATTATGAGCTACCGCATGACCCAAGTCTTACCCAATGGTTGGCCACCAGAAATTGTGCAAAGAATTGTAGTTCAAAGTCGGAATTTTACGTGCCAGTAGTGGTCCCAGGATTTCCATTCGGAAGGGGGGGGGGATGAAAAGACTTTTTGCATGGCGGTGCGTACCATTGGATGACTTCAAAAAATTATGCTTCCAAATTTTCGGGCCTCCCCAGATTTTAGGAAAACGGGGTGGCGGCAGTTAAAGCGAAATTGAATCTTCAAAAATTTTTGAAAAAATTACTTTGATTATTCAGAAGTATAGGCAAGTATTTGCACATTTCTATAAATCATATAACTATCAAAAATTTTACGACCCCTTCGGTCCGTCACCGACGCATTCGTATCAGGTCCCTGTTGGTCTCAAAAACATGCGACGAAGATTATTGGAACTAATATCAGATGCAACTCTTACATGCCAATCTTTGACACATTTGTACTTCAGATTTTGTCATTCATCCCTGATATCATGCTAGATGTAGAGAGCACAAACCTTGGTCCTTTTTCAGTGCAAGTCGTTGATTGGCAAGTAATCCTTTGCCATGCTGAAATCAATTACATAGTCTTTATCAATCGTTTTGAGAAGAATTTTTTCTCTTTCCGGGCCACGAAACAACGTCAATTCTGTTACGGTTTCACTTACCGTGCACCTTGTACTGTATAGTTTTCCTGTGTATGATGTTCGGATTGGGGAAGGGCCAGTAGTGTAAGAGTAGGTTAGCTGCAGCCACTCGAGACTCGGAAGTGCCTCTAGCAATCACCTGCAATAAAAATAATTTCATTGTAAAGTCATAGTTTTTTTGTATAACGAAGTCCAGTGGTATAGCGCTTAAAATTTGTTCACACCTTCAACTCCTAGGTTACGTATTCGGTCGCCTTTTGTTATGTAAAGTGAGATAAATGATCACCAAACACAACGCACTGAAGATGCCAAAACAATCATTCTCTATTTCCATTCTCTACACCGCATGTATTCACTCGGAGATATTAGAGTTCGATATGATTTCTAGACAGTGGAGTTTCAATGAAGTGTATAGAGATGGTATAAGTGTTGAGAAAGTACCCTATTTTCAGGTGTATAAGCCGCACCCTTTTCAGTCAAAAGGCGCACGCGCCAAAAGACTGCCTGTTACGATGGGGCGCGTTAGGTGAGGGCAATGTGCGAGAAAGCTACCGCTTCGCGGGGCAAATGCGCAGCGGCATGCCTGGGTCTGCTCGCGTTTAGAGCAAAAAGGGTGCGGCTTATACACCTGAAAATAGGGTAAGTGTTGTTACTAGTTGCCAGTTGTCAATCACTATTGTTGTCATCCAGTATCCTTGCACCCAACAGATTTCATTTTTGCAAAATCCTGCTAAAACTACACCAGGGCTCGGCTCGAGCTGGCACCAGGGAAATTGCACAACGATGTCCTTGACCCTATACCCTAAACATTGAAAAAAAAACCCCAAAAACGAAACATCGACTGAAAGAAACGTTTTTGGCTACAAAAACGATATCCCCTTTGCTTTTTGCCCCAAAAGCGATGTCCAGCTTGACCCGTTGTCAGCTGTGCCGAGCCTTGGACTTGAGCAACAGCAGCACCTCCTTCTTTCTCGAGCTAATCATCGTTATCTAGTAGCTCATTTAAATCCAGTAGTAAGCTATAAAATGCTCTCAACTGCTTTATCCTCGATCAAATGACTCGGTTTTACAAGGTAGGCTTCTTTTTGAATTCAAGAATTCAGAGAGAGAGAGAGAGAGAGAGAGAGAGAGAGAGAGAGAGAGAGAACCTGAGACTTTCCCAAATTTTCCACGACATTCAAATGCCATGCACTGGAAATGGTACCTAACTACGCTATTCGCGCATCCGAACCTTCATTGCAGAAAACTGGAAGATTCAATAAATATAACAAGTTTTGACTGTCCCATATTCTTCGCGGTATTATGAGCTGCTCTATAACTCGATCTGCAAGTACACAGCCCCAGACAGCTACCCTTTCTCTTGCTCCGCGATTGCAAGTTAGTATAAATTGATGGGTCAATAGTGCTTCATACATTTTTAATAGTCACTGTAAATCAAGTATCTCTTCTTTTCATTACTGCAATTCACCGTTCGAGCGAAAATCAGTTGCATGAGAAAATAAGTTTTTCGATCCCTACCTGAACCAAATCTTCATAGATGTCCGGAGTGCAACTCATGGCCCCTTCCATAATCCAAGTGTGAAGGCCTGAAAATTCGTTATCAAAACTGCCCGCAAGAATCCGAGCAAATTTTGCTCCACCAAAAACGATGCTATGTTTTTTGCAGTTGTTTGCTCGTTAGAGGCTTCAGAACCTTTGCAAATCGGATTGCACGCCGTATAAGAAAGAATTAGATTACTTTTTGAGTGTTTGCAATTTTTGCATTGTAAAGTTAGACTTCAGCAAAGAAGATCGAGGAAAAATCTGAGTTATGAGCACAATTTGTGCTAATGTGATGCAATACAGATGTTCAGATCCACAGATGTTTCAAAGAAAAATGTTTCCACATAATTATTGGTCACGTTATCCTAAAAAATTTTGTTGCATATTTCCTTTTCTATAGGAAAGAAAAACGAAAATGGGGACTTCTGTTATTTGCAAACGAAAGTACAAAATTTTGCTTTTTTGTCACATTGGGAACTAAAGTATTCATTTACTCATGGAGGAAGAGAGCACACAAACTGACACAGAGATGGGGTCACTTTTTTGCTACCACTTCTCATTCACAACAGATGGATGTGGGAAGAGTTACTTTTGTGAGATCCGGTAACCAACACATATGCTTCCCACTAAGCCCAAAGTTTTGGAAGAACTCGGGGAAAAATCAAAGCAAATCTATGCAAAGTTAGGTAGCAAAATTTGCCTGAAAATGTGTCGCAAGTCAACCTTTTTAAGTTCTACAGGGTGTCCCAAAAAATGTGCCTAATGTTTGATTGTAAATAACTCTCTTGTAATGAAGTCTATCGAGAAGCTTTAGGTACCGATCTGTAGGGCGAAGCTAAACTTAGATTTACAGTATGGAGCGAATCATCTATCTCTCTTCATTACCGTAGGATTACGGTACGAAATTCGACAAAGATTTTAGGCCATTGGAGGCTATAATCTGCCTCGGAACAAAACCAAACAAGCCAAAAACTCTCATACTACAGCAATAAGAGCAGCTCATTTCGAATCTGAAATTCCCATTTTACTGCGATGCTTCTTTTCAGAGTTATACCCGGTAAATCGTAATAACCCAATTTCCAGCATTTGTCAAAAATGTAATTACACCTTCAAAAAAGCTGAAAACACTCGTAAAAAGTTGTTAGGTGGAATTATCATGTGAGAAAACCCTAGTACACGATTTTTCAGATTTCTTGAAGAGAATTTTGTTGGGTGGTATATTTCACACTGGTTTCATATGCTGCAAGTTCGTACCGTAATTTTACAGTAATGAAAAGCGATAGATGATTCACTCCATACTGTAAATCTAAGTTTAACCTCGCTCTACAAAACGGTACCTGAAGCTTCTCGAAACACTTCATTACAAGAGAGTTATTTGCAATCAAACAGTAGGCACATTTTTTGGGACACCCTGTATACACTTTTGATCTAAGACCCGATGCACGTACATCCCCGCTGAGGAGGGGGAGGGGGGATCTAAGAGGGGATGCGTCATATCTCGCTACTCTAGAAATCTTTCTTCTTCCTTCTCTATCTTGCTTATGAAGGTTCTCATACCCTATACCTGCTTAGGGATGCCAGTTTAGTGCCATACAAGACTGGTACTTTGTCATTTTGTGTGATTTCTTGGGGATCCCCTGGGTATCCTCAAGGGATCACCTCTCATTCTCAAAGTGGTTTATCTTCTTAAAAAGTCAATGGAAAAGCTGCAAAATTGTGCTGAGGATATACTACGCACTGCTAAGCCTGTTTTCGATAGGTAAAATGGAGTCTGAAGATTGTGAATATTTCGGTAATCCCTAGCTCGCGAGCAGTTGTTCATCGAAGATTTCGATATCGTGAGGTTTCACTCATTCCTACTACAAACATGAGCAAAGCGTAGTAGATTCTAGATTCTCAGTACAATTTTGCAGCATTTTCATTGACTTCTCAGGAAGATAATTAACTTTGAAAATGAGAGGTGACCGACCACCTAGGGATCCCAGGGGATCACACAAAATGGCGAAAAACCAATTTTTTATGACAGTAACTTGGCACCCACTATGCGCAGGTATAAGGGTATGAGAACCTTTATAAGCAAGATAGAGAAGGAAGAAGAAAGATACCTAGAGTAGCGAGATATCGTGCATCCCCCTTCAGATCCCCTCCCCTCCCCAGCGGGGATGTACGTGCATACGGGCCTAAATTTTGGTACTTACTGGGATCATGCGGTTGCTGTAGAACTAGCATAAGTATTCCGGGTACAGAAAGCTTGATGTATGTATCCTCTGCGATTGAGAACGGTAGAATGACGTCAGCAAGCAAGTGAACGATCTGAATATTTCACAATCAAACTTCTTGACAAAAAATTTGACCCATTCCTCTACTTAGAACTACTCTTTCTATGAATTAGAATGGTTAGTAGGTAAATCACCTGTTTATCCAATTCCGATGGAAGCACGCCGATGTGAGTGGCCAGAAGAAGCGGCAATTGTTCCAAGGAATCTCGGTCCAAAAACATCATCAGTGCTTTCAGAGTATCCAGTATAGCTTCCCCAATGGCTAAAAATATCTCCACGCTTTAAAGAAATATATTTTCTCTTATTTTTGCAGTCGTATTATACGCAGTGATCCACTTCATAAAGCCATTTTTTTTGGATAACCAGTCCTTAACAAAGCTACTTTGTTTAGAGTTTACTTCCGAACCTTGACTACCAAAGCCTATTAGCTACAAAGCTTCCTACTGCCGTGGAAAGACTAATTTGTAATTAACGTCTGTTGGCTGAGAGCATTTCGGGAGAGAACAAAAGCTAATTGTCGTCGTGTTTTTATCGTGGTTCAATTTACTTGGAACCATACGTTTAGCTTTATTAGCCTGAACATTTTTGAGGATCGCTATGTTGCGTAACTTCGTAATCTCCTTTTGCAAAACTTCCCTTACTCAAAGTCCTCGTCTTTTCTACGACATTAGTTTTTTTCCCCTTTCAACTCTTTTATACCTCCAAAACTTGAGCACCCACCGGTTTGTCCTGTAGTGATAAGCGGAAACACTTCGAGTAGATTCACAATGGCATAGAAAAGCCCCGAGTAGTTGAGATTCGGATAGAGATTCCATCGTGCTGGATCCGACGAGAATTTCTCACAAAATTGTGTTTGCCCTTGCGGAAAATCTTTCAGGAACCTGCAAAAAGCCGCTTTTTGTGTGAGTTTGCCGTTCCGCCACTGATTTCATTTGCAACAGACCCCGAATTATCAAGGCTCGGTTTGGCGATATTAAGCGTGCAAAAACCGGCAGCAAAGCTCGAAATCGTCGAGCAGCGCTGAAATTTTGCGAGCGTTTCGGCGGAACAATCAAATTATGCCAAGTATGAGCGGACTCTTCGAAATCGCTCAAGTGCCTCGCGCCGACGATTTCGCGCTCTTCCAGCGCCGTTTATGTATTACTACGCGATTCTGATGGTGGTGGTTCCTTTCGAGAGACCGACCACATTATTCAAATTCGTCGCTTTAGCCGATGAGCTCGACGGAAGCGCCTAGCATATACGACACGCGAAATGGCAAATGTCCTTGCATTGACCGATGAATGCGTCGGCTTAGCAGCGGAACGAGAAAAACTAACTTATTTGGACATTATGACTCTTTGTTCACGAATATAGAGATAAATAAGTGAAAGTGCAGTATAATTCCCTGTCGCTTGCTAAAGAGAGATCCTATCAGGGGCCCACTTTGAATGGGCCATCCTAAACTGTGTACTGCCTTTTCTCTTATCATTATCGATTCCACTTCAGGAAGTTCTGACTGGTTAATGTAGAGATTACAGGCTAAAATCTGAACCTTTCGATGAAAGATTATTCCTGAATTCTCTGAATTGAATCGATAACGAAGCAATTTTCTAGGCACTCTCTCGTAGAGTTCCGTAAGGGGCTAGGAACGAAATCGAAAAACGGAGATGAAATATGGTGTGATTTTTATAGGCAAAACTAGGATTCGTCATTTCAATATGGCAGACTTCTACCTCGCAGCTCGTAAGGCTGCAAAAGAAGTAAATGCTGACCATGACCAATCTTAAATAAGAATGTATCATTCAGAGAAGTCTTAAAATGCTAATTCACAACCCATCTTCGCGAGTAATGCTCTACACATACCTGTGCTGGTTTAGAAAGTAACTTGCTTTAATAAGGAGGGTTAGAAGCAACAATGTAGAATTTTTTTTGCTCCGTTGTTCCAAAAAACGTAAATGAGTCTCATTAGAATCTGCTCTTTTATAGTATTTTTCAAAAGAGGCCATAGCATAGCGGTGTCCGAAAGCAAGCGAATTCTTTCGTTAATTTTCATAACTTCTCTCGGCACAGACTTACTCAGCCTTAATATTCTTATGCTATACATTATTCCATCATCAACTACCCTACCCAGACAAAAAAGGAGTTGTAAGTCTTACGAAGCAAAAAAACCATGTCAGTCCACATGATCCACACATCTACATCAAACGCTAATGGTATCCTTTCGGCTAATGTCTGCTCCATTCAAGTCACATCCATCATGTGGGAGCCGCCCATAAACTTTAGATAAAACATCAATTTCCGTTTCCCGCGCATTTTTCGAGTGATGTCATTAAAATACTTCTGAAGCGTGTGCTTGCAATCGCCCACCTGTGTGGTCGAATATGCTGATTTCATTACGCTTCCTCTGAACATTCGCTTTTTTTTGAAGCTCGAAAAACCGCCTTTGCTTCCATCATACGACTGACATCAGACTGTTCTTTATGAAGAAGCGCTGAAACTTACGCGAGAAGAACTCTGAAAGGCGAAGCACAATTGCATTCTAAGCATCATTAGTTCAAAGATTGACAATGACTTCACCGGCAATCTTATATAAAACCTTCCCCAGAAGTTTTTTTGATATGATGACAAATTTCAATTTTTCGACTGCATAGCTCACATTTTCAAGACTTGCGTGAGGTTCAAAATTATCTCAAAAGCCAAATTCATAATAAAAAAAATGATAATCGCGAGTTCTAGAGCTTAGATGGTGTTTTGCATGCAAATTGTACGTTGCCAGCAAGACAGCTACGCATCCAAATGCTTACATGCTAATTAAGGGGCTGTTTTCGTCGAGAGCTTACACGAAAAGCATGAAAAGCACTGCGGCCAAATGCTAAGTACTGTACCCTTGCTGTCCATCGTATACGAGAATTTTTTTCTAATCACAAAGCCTTTCAGGCTACAAACAAACATTCATGAAAACGCTAATTTTCATCGTATTTCCTTAATTTCTTCACTCCTTCGACTTCAGAAATAAAAAGTATTAAAGGCAGTAATAACGCCTCGCTAATCCCAGTGGTGGATCAAAATCAGATTGACCCCTAAGCCAACCCTAGCTCGAGAACGACTCAAAACTAACCGCCACTTAAGTGATACTTCAAGCAGAATTTTTTTCTTCCCAATCCCATTTTTCGCATGATTACCCGTGGTCTGTCGATGTATCCATCGGAATAAACTAGCTCTTGCTAGGTATCTGATACCCTTGCAGTCATATTAACATTCGTAGATATATGAGATGAGGCGACAGGCAATTTGCGTTACGAAGAGCATGCCTGACGGTTACGACTGATGCGAATGGGCTGAAAGAAGCAGTATGCAGTAAAGAAGATGTCCGAAATTTTTTTATCAGCGGGTTGTAGAGGTTTGAAACAACAAAGGCAGAAAGGGCAGGAAAATTTCATCTACAGAAAGCATTTTTCCCAAATAAGCAAATGACACAAAAAAGAAGTTTTCAAAGTTCATATTGACGGAGATGTATTACACGTGGGATGGATTGCCGTTTTTCAACCCCGTATACGCGGTCGTTGCTGGTTAACTAACTTGCACTATGTAAAAAAAATAAAACGACCATCAGTAAGCGCATCAGAAGTGAGAAGTGTCCTAGTGCGAAGTAGAAAGGGAAATATTAGAGACTTATAGACAACGCTGAGTAAATAAAAGTCGATATTGCTCATTGCTTGGACAAGAATTTGGAGAAATCTTCCAATTATGTCATTACGAATTAGAAAGCCGAATTTGCCAATGAGTGAAGGAAGCAAATAGATGTGGAGCACGCATTTTGGAGAATAACCTTTTTGGAAACTTGGATAAACCATACTGCTTGGACATACAAAAAAACAATGATAAGAACTCACCCTATGAGAGTTTGGTGAAAGTAGCGAAGTGTTGTGATGATTTCTGCATTGCTTGGCGGCTGCTGGTTAGTGGATAGCCGAACTTGAAACTCGGATAAAGTGCGGATCTTTGCCGAAACTGAAAACGAGCGCGTTATTTTCACACTGCCACACATCAGGCACTCCTTCAGAAGAACTTACATGTATAGTATTTGAGCAAAAACGCCATAACACAAAAGCCCGGGGCGCTAGTGTTGCAAGGGCGCGGCGAGCTTCTGCCTCGCCCTCAGACGCGCCCAGCCCGCACTCCCCCCGCGCTTCTCACGCCGCCCCCCGTAGATCACACCCCGTCCGGGCAGCTGATCCTGCCGTCTCCCGGCCGGCCACGATTCCTCCGCCGAATCGTGGCGCTCCGCCCTGCTTCACGACGCTTCGACGTCGAGCCCGAGCCCCGCCCCCGTATTTGCGTCCAGCATTGTTACCCCCGACACGCCCCGCCCCGGGCCATCTACCACCGCATTGTTCTCGAAGCGTTTGCTTCTCGTTAGCGGCTATGGTGTCGAAACGGGTCGTTTTCCGCCACTGTGCCCCATTCCAATTCGCCATAATTGGCCTCTTCTCTCGCTGAGTAGGTCAGAAGTCAAAGCGCATTGTGCTGCTCTGCAAGCTCTAGCCCCTCCTATCAGCTCTACGATCTGACTTTTTAATTAACAGACAGCTGCTTACCATCATTAGCTGATTTGATAGAGCTTACGCACCTTTCTAATTGATCCTGCTTCAAACTGCACCCGCCTCATACTAATTCAAGTAACTGATAACCCTTTACATACCACTTTACCTTCACATAAGCACGCTTTGTATACGTGTTTTCAACCGAATTATTTGCTTCAGAAGAGAAATTGCAAATACGCTTCCAACACCTCGTTCGTTTTTTTCACGCATGCATCAAAACGTTCGCATTGTAATCAGAAATAACCCTGCTTCTTGGATATTTGAATTGTGACTGAACCTTCTTCGAAGACTTATGATGCTGTACAAATCCAAAATTCAAGAAAAGGCTAAGCTGCCTCGAATTGTAACCAGGCTAAGGCTTCTAATGAATTGTGGAAGATTCAAAGATACAGACGATTTGAAAAAAAGCGGTCCACATCTATACTCATTCAAAAATCAGTTAAAAGCATTTTCAGAGCAATTCCAAGAAATTTCGAAGAACCTTTGTTCTTATTCTCAACCACTTACAATCAGTACATTCGGTGATACGTACGTTCGTCAACCCTTACAATCGAAGGGACCATTTTTGTTATCAATACGCGCTGCTTATACGAGTTTTTGTACAAAAAATTAACAGTTGGAAATCAATCCAAAGGTTGGAATTCATAAATCAAAACTCCTTCATTCCCACTATACAGGGTGTCCCAAAAAAATGTGAACACTGTTTGATCGCTAATAATTCCGTTGCTTTCATTTTCGCCGAGCTTCAATAAATACCCTGTAGAGCGAGGTTCAACTAAGATTTACAGTATGAAGCAAACCTCCGATCTTCCATCATTACTGTAGGATTACGGTTTGAACTTCTAGCATGTGAATCCATTGATACGACATTTGGCAAAATATTTTTCAAAAAATCTGAAAAATCGTGTATCAGGATTTTGCGCACGCTGATCCCACTACACAACTTTTTACGGGTGTTTCTAGCCTTTTTGATGGTGTAATCACATTTTTGACAAATGCTGGAAATTCAGTTATCAAGATTTACCTGAGATAACCTTGAAAGGAAGCGCCACAGTGAAGTGGAATGTTTATATTCGAAATCAGCGGCTTCCATTACCATAATATAAAAAAATTTTGGCTTGCCTGGTTTTGTTCTGAGGCAGAATATGACCTCCAGTGTCCTAAAATCCTTGTCGAAATTACTACTGTAATCCTACAGTAATGAAGAGCGACCGATGATTTGTTGCATACCGTATATCTAACAAGGGAATGATCAGATATCGAAGTGGCTAATCCAGACAAGCTGCATACCGTTAGATGCAGCATGAAGCGCTGACTCTAAATCTGTCTTCCTTACATGCTTATCGCTTTTCTGGACGATGCTATAAGCCCTTAAAGACCATTATTTTGCTAAGAAATTATGCGTGAAATTGAAAATTTAGCCGTACAGAGCCACGTTCGCCTTGATGCTGGGCCAAAACATGCAGCTAGCTTACTTAAAATTTTTGAAGACAGAAGCTGAGCTAAAAGTGCAACAATGTGCTCAATTTCGCTGTTTTTATGTATGATTTTTTCACAATAAAACCGCTTGTAGCTTCGTCCACAGAGGCGGGAAGCAGATAAGGAAGACAGATTCGAAGTCAGTATTTTAAACTGCATCGAATGATATACAGCTTCTTTGGTTTGGCCACTTCGACTTCTAACCATTCCCTTGTAAGTTGAACTCGCTCTACAGAATGGTAGCTCAAGCTCGGCGAAAGACATGAAAGTAAGGGAGTTAGTAACGATCAAACAGTGTTCACATTTTTTGAGACACCACGTATAAAGCTCTTGTGGGGCGGGTACAAGCATAAATTTGCGTCCTTTGTAGATTTGGTCCAGTTGCCGCTTACCTAGATTATATTCTCAGAAATTGCTCAAGCGGATGATAGTGCTCTTCAAGATAAGTTTTTGTTAAACTTTACGATTGCTAGTAGCTTGAGAATGTACCATCATTGAGAGCTTATTCTTTTCAACTTTTGTTGTCTAAAAGTCTGTCAAAGCAGTATCTTCGCTAAAAATGCCGTACTTTTTACGAAAATCAGATAGAAAGTTGTTAGGATGCTAGTCTAATTGATGAAAAAAAATAGATATACGTTGAAGTATTGTTCAAATATCTTTTCTCACGTCAACGTCATTCTTCAAGCAGTTATCTAGAATTTCATATACCGTAGTCGTGTACGGGTTGCATGCGGTGCAAAAAATGCACATTCTCGGGAGACACGCAAGATAGAATGGAAGCGTATAAAATGGTATCTTCTTGTTAGTTGTGAAAAAGAATATTGGCATGCAATTTGTTTTATCACGCATTGCCATTGTCTCCAGCCAGTTATGGCCTCAATGAATCAAAGCTTTTGTTATGGGGACATTCAGCCAGAATGTGCACAACATTTTCAGTATCAGTGCGGTATTTTGGTCAATCATGTTTTTCTGAAAGTTTGTAACGAATAAAATCAGCGTAGTCCATAAAAATACTATAGTTCTTTCGATCAAATTAGATTTTATCGCTCTTGTCCCTGTAAAACACATTCTAGTCAAGATTTCAATATAGCTTGATTGCACTTCTTTTCAAGACCAGGAAATCATTAAATTCGGTTGATGAGACTTTTTCTCTGAGTTTTTGATGGAGAAACTAAAAGATTGATTACGCTTGAATGGTGATTATTTTGCAGCACCTTGTGCGCAATGACTGAGTTTAGTATGCTTAGAAATAATGCAAAATATGACTTCTCATTTTACTGTCGCCAACATTCGTATATTCTTATTCGTGTAAAGAAGTTAAAGAAAAGAAGTACAAAGAAAATAAAGAAAGATCTTTTGTATAAAGAATATTTCTGTGAAACATGTAGAGCCTTTCAAAAAAGAAATTCGGAAAGCTTTTTCAAATTCTCAGCATGCTTATAATCCAAAAAATTCGTGTCGCCAAGACACTTTTTTCGAGGCTTACCTTCAGTCAAAAAACTTTTGGATTAGTTTAACAAATAAAAACAAGTTTGCATAGTTAGCTCATGCGAGAAAATTTGAAAATTTTGCGAAACTCTCGAAGAGGGGTGTCTGGGTAGGGGGTAGGAGGGGGAGGGGGCGGGGGGGGGGGGGGGGTCGAAGAACTACGCTAATGCGGATTTGTACAATATTCAAGTATTCTTGATTGAATGCAATTACTCGGGATCCGCTTCAATTGCATTTGACTCGATATTTTTGAACAGGTCAAATTTTACATTGCTTGGGACTAAGTCACGAAATTCAACGCACCTATAGAAATTTTACCTTGACAGTACAATACCGCTCACAGAATGTGCAAAATTTCCGTGAATGCGCAGAATTCCAGGAATTTCGCGAAATTCCAGAAATTTCGCGATCCTTCGCGGAATTATTGGAATTCTGCGACATTCACGGAAATTTTGCACATTCTGTGAGCGGTATTGTATTGTCGGTATTTCCGGAGCATATCTTAAAAATCAATTAATTTGCGACTTTTACTGCATAGGATATTTATATTAGGTCGTTTCGAAAGTAATGTCGCTTTTTTCAAACGTATGCCACATCTCGTGGAACAAAGTTGTGTAAGAGATTTTGGAAGCATTTGATGCAGCATTTCATTCTCTTTCTAATGGTTATGAAGTCGTTGCATAATAGTCAATGAGCTTCCAGAAAAGAGTCAAAATCTGCAACCTATGCTTTTTGAGATGGCCAAGTTTCAAAATTTTTCTAAAATTTTATAACAAGCCTCAAAAGGAGTCCAAGAATGGATGGATGGAGCAAACCCTACAGGAAACAGCACAATTTTTTTCTACTTTTCAAAGCCCGTCATAATTTTTTTACAGATTTTTTGATGGAACCACCAAATTTTAACAGGCTCGTCTCACAAGGGGAGGATAGTTGGATGCCGCGGCCAATCCTAATGATTTGTATACCAAAAAGTGCGCCTTCGAATGCAGATTCTGAATCTGTGCTCGAAATCTGCGAAACGATCTTTTGAAGAAAGTTATGAACTTTTTTCCTTGAAAATTTAGCCTGCTTTTGTATAGTAAAAATCACCAGATTTGATCTAGCCTACCGTTTGATGCTACTGAAGAAAATTTTAGACGTAGTAATGTTTATTTAGACTATCTGGATCATACTCAGCATTTGGAAAGGAGAGAAAATTTTTTTATTGATGATTTTGACCCTCCGCAGGAACGCAGTTTTTTTTTAATGAAAAAAATCATAACTCCATTCAGATTATCGTTTCGCAGATATGAAAGACAGTCTACGAACCAGCATTCAAAAGCGCATTTTTTGGTACACAAATCATTATGAATGGCTACGGCATCCAAGTATCCTTCCCCTGTCAGACACAAATGCATCAAACACCAATAAATCTTCGGATTTTGAAACTTACAAAGATAGATTATGGTTTGGCAACAAATTTACAAACCAAACGAGCATTTACCGCTTCGGTTTAGCAACTTTCGAAAATTTCGGGTACGTTGGGGTGCCTTGGAAAAGTTGAATTATGATGAT